AACCCAAAGCTCTGCGTGGGAGGATGGATGAGCAGCATCCCTGCAGTCGGGCCGCCAAGCTGAGCCCGGGAACAAACGCTCCCGGGGCCTCCCCGTTATCCGCCCGAGAGAGCCCTCGGCCTGCCCTCCGCGGCCGACCCACTCCTGCCCCCCAGCTCCGGGCCTCGCGCCGGGGGAAAGGAGCAGCCGAGCCCTCGCCCACGGATGCCGGGGGAGGGGGGGGTCCAGTGGACACCGGAGCCCAGCCACCCACCCATTCCTCGGCCCGGGGGCCCCCCCGCGCGCACCGGGACTCGCCTGGCAGCGCCGCCGCCGCTCGCGCTCTGGGCCCTCGCGGGGAGGGCGGGGCGGAGCCTGCGGCCGCGCCCCGATCCCCCGCACGGCGGGCTCCACCGCGTTCCCCGCGACGACGCCGCCGGCGGCGGTGAGCGGCGCGCCGGGACCGAGGCCGCTCCGCCGGGTTAGGACCCGAGGCGCAGGAGGACCCGCCGCCCAAGTGTCGCGAGAGGTGCGGGGACTCGCGCGAGACGTAGTTCCTCCTGCTGCGGCGGCGGCGGCGGCGGCGGCTGCTGCTGTTGCTGCGGGCAGGCGTCGGGCGCCCGGGCACGCGCCGGGCACGCGCTGGCGGAGTGGGCGGGGCGGGCCCGGGAGCCGAGGCTTTTGAGGGAGGAGGAGCCACGGAGGTGACCACTGCAGGACCCACCCGAGCCGCTCGGCGCTTCCCAGAAAGGGGATCGGGGCATCGTGAGCCCTGGTGGGTCCTGATTGACACCTAGGGGGCCCGACTGGGTGGGTGGAGGAGGATGCAGGGATGAAGGATGGGTTGGAGGGAGGCTGGAGAGCAGCAGGGCTGGAGAGCAGCAGGGTGTTGCCCTGCAGCCGTGTCCTGGGGGCCTTGGCTCCTCCCTCTCTCTCTCGCTTTTTTTTTTAATCTGGATTGAGAGGTTGCCCAAAAAGGTATCCCTGAAAGCCCAAGAGGTGATTCTGACGGGATGTGGCAGCTGCAATAGCAGCTAAGGAGGTGTTTGGGTCCTAGATGATGTCACCTGGCGGAGGCGGCGGCTCTGCCCCGTATTCCCTGCACTCCTGAGACTGGCGGGGGGCTACAGGAAGGAAAAACAAGATGCTCTCGTGTTTTCTGACTTGATCATCAGGCGAAGGTTGGAAGCATTTTCAGAAACCGAGAAGGAACTTTAAGTGTGGACGTTTTTTTTTTTTTAATCTCATATTGTCCACACATCAACAGCTACACACAAATATCCACACGTTTACTTTTTTATTGGTTTTTCTTGTTTGGCTAGTTGGTTGGTTTTTGGTTTTTCGAGACAGGGTTTCTCTGTGTAGCCCTGGCTGTCCTGGAACTCGCTCTGTAGACCAGGCTGGCCTTGTACTCTGAGATCCACCTGCCTCTGCCTCCTGAGTGATGGGATTAAAGGTGGGCACCACCACCGGGCTCCACATGTTTACTTAACACGCCTTTTTCTGTGTTTTTTGCTTTGCTTTGTTTGAGATGGTCTTGCTACATGTAGCCCCATAGTGGTTTCCAACCTTTAAATATCATTATATTCTTACTCTTACTCCGTGGCTTGCTTTGTGGCTGTGTGGCTGGCCCCTGGGTTCTCCTCCTTCTCTGGCTACTTCTTTTTTTTTTTCTCCCAGATTTCTTCTATTTCTTCTCTCTGCCTGCCAGCCCCACCTATTTCTCTCTCCTGCCTCACTATTGGCCGTTCAGCTCTTTATTAGACCATCAGGTGTTTTAGACCGGCACAGTAACACAGCTTCACAGAGATAAACAAAAGTAACATACCTTAAAATAATATTCTCCAACACTCAGAGCCACTAACCACGTGTTGGTGTCATATTAAAGACAGATATTAAAGCACTTCCGGTGTCATCTAACCCAGAGCAAGCCAGATTTGAATTCTCTCCTTCGCTCTCCTTGTCTTGTTATTCTATCTGTGCATGAATCTGAATTTGTGCCTGCCTGAATATTGTCTTGTGACTCTCTTTCCCTGGTGCGTGTATAACAAAGGGTTTGTTCTCTCTCATTGAACAACACGGAAAGCATCACATAGGGAAGGAATGAAAGATACTTTATAGAAACAGAGTAACAAGGGATGAAATCACTGACTCCCAGTGGACCTAGCTAACCCAGATAACACACAGTTTATCTCAATGCTGCTTCCAGCACTTAGGGTAGATATTCATTGTATAAAACTACGTTCAGCCTATTTGCTATTTCCAGCAAATGATGGTCCTAACACACCTACAAACAAACACACACACGCATTACTGTGTGGGCCAGGGGCATGGAAGAGTACCTAACTTAAAGTTACAAAAGCCATGCATTTGCTTAGGTTACATGAGAACCCACGGCAAGTAAGGCTGGTTGTTGCATCATCCTCTTATAGGAAGATTAAACAAAGAGGTTGAGTACACAGTAGAATAGCAGTTTTAAGTAAACTCGAGGTATATTAAATCTGGCTGTGAGGGTCATCAAAAGTTCCAGTCTTAGAGTTTAAGAACTATCTTCATAATAACGCATCACCACAGACCTGGGAAAAGCTGCTGCTGACAGCTTGTGCCATTGTTGCTATCAAAAACCCCGCTGAAGCCCAACAGGGTGGCGTACACCCTTAATCTCAGCATGTGGGAGGTAGAGGAAGGTGGATCTCTGAGTTCGAGGCCAGCCTGGTTTCCAGAGCGAGTTTCAGGACAGACTTCAAAGCTACACAGAGAAACCCTGTCCCAAACAAGACAAAACAAAAATCTTAGGTGCATCTGGAAATAAAAACTGGGTCTCGTTGGGCTGAGGGTATAGCTCAACTGGTGGAATGCTTGACCTGAATGCATGAGGCACTGGGGTTGTTCCTCAGCACTGTGTTAAAAACGAAACACAGGAATAGTCACATAAACCTAGAGCCCTAGCACTTGAGACGTAGAGGTGGGAAAACTAAGTTCAAGGCTATCACTGGCCACATACGGAGTTTGAAGTTAGCCTAGGCTACATTCAAAGCTGCCCTCTCAGAAAATGAGTCTTATACAGATGGCCACAGTGGTATGAGTATACACTTCTCAAAAGCAATCCTAGAAACTAAACTCTGGAAACTGAGACAACAGAACAATTTATAGTTCTTTTTTGTCTGTATGTTTTTCAAGACAGGGTTTTTCTGTGTAGCTCTAACTATCCTGGAACTTACTCGGTAGGCTAGGCTGGCCTCAAACTCAGAGCTCTGCCTGCCTCTGCCTCCTGGTGCCAGGACTAAAGGTGTGCACCACCTCCACCAGGCTGTAGTTCTTAAAATAATCATTTCCTACTATTTATATTCACCTAATAAACTCTGAGTCTAATGTGTGGTAGAACTGACATTTTAAATTATGCAAGATCTAAAGTCTAACATTTTCCATGTACTCTTTCCCAGGAAGCTACTGAAAATATATCTCCTGAAGTAAGCTAAGAAAGAAAGATTAAAAAAAAAAATACAGGAAAACAAGAGGCAAAGGGAATTCTCCATGTATGTAAGGAAGGCTCCAGCAGACTCCTCAGGAGTCTAAAATTAATGACATACTGTACAGATCTCGAAAAGGGACTTTAGAGGTCAAGCAGATAACACTGAGGACATAAGCAGCCAAGTAAACCAGGTAAACGATTCCAGGGAAAACAAGGAATTCAGGAAACCACCATTCACCACAGGGCTGAGCTCTGTTAGTATTCACGAAGAAGTAACTACGCAACCATATTCAGACGTGGGGAGAAACAGACCGAGACGTGAAGAAGCAGAAAAAGAACTGATTATCATCATTGCCTGAAGGAAAAACAGGAGGGCTGAGGCAGGGAGAGTCCATTCCAAAGCTACAGAGCAAGTTCAAAGCCCATCTATACTACACGGTGACTGACTCACAGAACAACAGGACTCCAGAGATTTGACATGCGCGGTGTTGTACGCCTTTAATCCCAGCACTCGGGAGACAGAGGTAGGCGGGTCTCTGTGAGTTCGAGGCCAGTCTGGTCTACAGAGTGAGTTCCAGGACAGCCAGGGCTACACAGAGAAACCCTGTCTCAAAAAGCAAATTAACAAAATCAGAGATATGTTAAAAGTATATTTTATATTGGAAAGAGGTTGCTTTGGGCTATAGAGTTGGCTAAGCACGTTTTTGTTCTTACAGAGGACCTGGGTTCAATTCCCAGCATTCACATGATGGCTCCTAACTGTAACTCTAGTTCCATAGGATCTGATGCCCTCTTCTGGCCTCTAAAAGCAACAGACACACACATAGAACACACACACACACATGCAGGTAAAACACTCAAACACATAAAATAATAAATCTAACAAAATTAAGTGGTTGCCTGTGGAGAATAGGGTGGGACCTGGAGAATGCTGTTTTTCAAAGATTTGACTCAGAACTTAATTTTTTAAAGATACTTATTTTTGAAGGTGGTGGTGGGGGGAATGCTATGGTATGCATGTGGCAAGTACCTTTACCTGCTGAGCCATTTCACTAGCCCTAAACTCACAACTATTAAAGAGAGAGAAAAAATTCAAAGATGAGGTGGATCTCAGTGAGTTCGAGGCCAGCCTGATCTACAGAGAGTTCCAGGACAGCCAGGGCTACACAGAGAAACCCTGTCTCTGAAAACAAACAAACAAACAAACAAAAAGATGAAAAAGAAAACAAAGCTCTATCAACTATCTACCTTTAAGGCTTTTCTTGATGGACAATTTAATCTATACCCTTCAACCTAAAAAAAAAAAAAATCTGGTTAACTTAAAAGTTATTATTTATGTCAACTAACTAAAGCACGGTTTTCAAACCCCATTCCTTTTACTGTTGGTTGTGTTTGTTTTTACAAACCTCATTCTTTAGAAGCACTTAAAATAAGCACACACTGATGGGCAGAGACAAACAGAACCTGGCTCCAGACACTTCACTGGGGCTGGATGGTTAAATGTTTACACTGGGATTTTTACCTGAACAAAGGTGTTAGAAAACAGCTGTTTATCATGCCAGGTGTAGGTAACTTTATTCAAGATTGGACAAAAATGATCCCCAAAGTAATATAAATTTAGACACTTTAAAAAAGTCTAGATGTAAAATTTCAAAAGAAAATTGTTTCAGTTTCAAATCAATTTTAAGTCAAAAGCCAGACAAATTTTACAAATCACAAATACTATTTTCATTCTTAAATTCATTATATTTTCAAAGACAGGTCACCAACATTGCTTTGTTCTTTGATACTGGCCATTTGGAATCAATTAACATGATTTATGTCTTTTAAGTTCTGAGTTCGTACCTATCCTGAATATCCTGATATAATTAAAAATATAAATCCAGAAACCACAGTTCTTCCTTCCAGAAGAATTCCAATTATTAAATATAGAGGAAATGAAAGAAATAGAAAAATCACCATTTGAACACCACAGTAGTAAATGCCACAAGCAAGACCTGCCAGGAGATAGGAGAGGCAAACTCTAAGCAGAAACAGGACATTTGCATAGTCTCAAAGTATCTCTAGCAAATACTCAGTCATTACAAAGGAAAGCGGGGTAAGCTCACAGTAGAGAATCCTAGGAGACACCACCTCAGCAGAGTGCTCAGTGAACCACATCGGCAATACACGACAAGACCGGCTATCCTTATGATACAGCGTCACAGAGTGACAGACTACCGAGACGGGACAACTAAATGCAAAATGGGATCTGGAGCAGTTGTAATAAAAAGATTAATAAGATATCGACTTTTAGCTTGCTACTTTAGCTAATATTAAGAGCACATAAAAGATTAACTCTCAATTTTGACAACTGTTTTAGTTAGGGAAGATGTCAAAACAAGGGGGTGGATTGAGGGTACACAGGAACCCTACTGTTTTTACAACTCTTCTGTAACTTTAAAACCATGTTAATAGTTCAAAAAATAACTTAAGATATATATATATATATATACACATATATGTACATGTGTGCATAACGTGTACAGTATGTAAAATTGAAGAATGTGCAGAAACTGGCATCTTGGGCAGCATAGTTAAGCAAAAATGTGTTCTTCTGAATCTGTCACTGTCTTGCTGGCAACACAGTTTCTCCTCTTAAACTTTTAAGTATAATTGTCATATTTTATAGAAAACTTCTTTGAAGGGTGGTTAGGTCTCACTCCTGGCTAGTCTGGCACTCACTATGTAGACCAAGGTGGCCTCAAAATCAGAGAGCCATCGCCTGCTTCTGAATGCTGGGGTTACAGGTGCATGTCACCGTGCCCACCTTAAAAACATTTCTATATTAGGCCAAAAATAAGAGAATCAGGGCTACAGCTGTAGCTCAGCACAGTGCTTGCCAGTATACACAGCCCTGAGTCTGATCCTCAGCACCACAGAAACCAGGCACACACCTGTAACAGAAGGTGAGACAGGAGCATCAGAACTTCCAGGTTGTCCTGGGCTACATACAAAGTTTAAGGCCAACCTGAGATGAAATTCTCTTTCAAAAATAAAACTTGTACATATAAAACACACACATCCCATAGGTAGGTAGGTAGGTAGGTAGGTAGGTAGGTAGGTAGGTAGATAGATAGATAGATAGATAGATAGATAGATAGATAGTGTGTGTCTCACTATGTACCCCTGGCTGGTCAGGAACTCTCTGTAGACCAGGTTGATCTTGCACTCAAGAGATCTACCTGCCTCTGCCTAGATTAAAAGTGTATACCACCAAACCCAGCCAAATAAAATCTTTTAAAAACAAGACTCCTGGATAAAATCATGAAATCTTGAATCACTTATCCTTTTAGTTTTTTGAGACAGGATCTCATGTGGCTCAGGGTGGCCTTAAATTCATTATATAGCTGAAGATGACCTTAAACTTGCAATCTTCCTGCCTCAACCTCCCAAGTGCTGGGACACTATGCTTGGTTTATGCAACATTGAGGACTTAACCCAGGACTTCATGGATGCGAGGCAAACACTCTACTAACTCTGCCACATGCCCAGCCTCCATGTAATATTTTTACTACATTTCTACTCATTATATGTTGGCATTGGTTTGGCTCTATGTGAGTAGAAGGGATGGCTGTAGGTTTACTATTACTAATATACAGGCCCGCTAGTCTAGAAAACAAGTATCACTTTGATATTTTACTAAGAAACTGCTTTTGTTGCAAAAGCAGATACTGTATGCTAGACCTCACTTTAGATTTAAAAGGTAAATTATTTACCTGTCTCTGTATAATAACATATATGGATAACCAAGAAAGGCCCCTTTCTTAAACTTGGTTTAACAAATCAACTGTTACTAATAATAAATAACATCTTTCTTATGAAACAGGCAATTCTATGTAATTTAGTCTATGAAGTAAAGACCAAATTTAAATCTAAAAACCATGAATTTCCTACTTTAGCTATGGCTGATGCATTCCCTGAGCGTAAATCTCCTTTTCCTTTATCAGCTCTACACTGAGCTCAAACCTGCCCCACAGAAACTATTAAATGGAGAATGGTATTGTGAAATCATTGTATTTGTTGCTTTTTGCAGTCGCTATTTATACTAACTGTGGCATTTAGGTTTCATATTTCTATCATAAGGCTCTCTAGAAGTAGCAATAGCCAAAGATATTTTTCTTAAAAAAGCAATTGTAAAAGTGGATCTTTATCCAAATACAACAAAAAAAGCAAGGAAGTCAAATGTCCACAAACATTGTCATTCTTAGGTTAATGTAATTTCCAAACTCACCTTCCCGGTGACTATGAAAAGCAGAAGTGGGAAGAACTCTAACATAACATGCTACACAAAAAGGAGATGATGACTGACTTCAGGAGCCCACTACACACTGCAGGCTATCCCAGTGGGGAAAGGGTGTGACTGTTCAGAACTGCCCATCTAGCTGGCTGCCGGTATTTGATTATATTAAACATAGTACTACAAAATGTACCAAGAAGTAGAGTAGTATTACATTTGTGAACGAAACCGAGGTCCAAGAGTCTAAGCTATAATTTACACAGGAAGCATGTGCAGTCACAATGCACAAAAATGTGACAGTCTGGATGCTTACAAAACAGCCTGTTTGTCTCAGATTATGCTTTGAGAACCTGTCACAGAAAGTCTATTTCCCTCCTGCTGATAAGCAGCAGCCTAGAGACGCCCATGGATTTCTTAAGCAGTGGGTCTACTTGGCAGTACTGGTAACTCCAGTTTCCTGTTCTGTTCAGTCATCTGAAACCCGACAGAACCCAGTAACGCGCTCTTCCAGTCCTCTGCCAGCTTTCCATGTTTTTTCCTTTCAGGTTTTAAGTCAGAAGTTGGAATGTGTTGTTCTTGTCATAACAGGCATTTCAAAAGATGGTAACTAACCAAATCCAAGAGTTCTTTGGCCACATGAGTAGCAGGCTTACCCTTCATTCCAAATTATTTCATAATCCCTTTTTCTCTAATTTCTCCAGTATGGCCTGGATCTTACAGACGGCCTCTTTCCTGGCCTGACGGACAGAGTCCTGGCCCCCAGTTTCAATAGAATCCAGTTCTAACAGTTCCTTCGTCAGCATTTCTTCCAGAAGCCAGTATGCTTTGTCTGTCTTTTTTCCTACAAACTCTTCGACTTCTTGCTCAAGATACTGGACCTTCTCCAGCACATGTATGATTTTTTTAATACTTGGAGGCGTGCCTTCATCTGAAGTGAAACACTCTTCAGGGAGATTATTACTCTGAACTGGATTGCTGGGATGGTCACTGGTGGCATTACCATACAGCTGAGGCTCAGCACTGTATTGGACTTGAGAATCCAGAAGGTCTGAATTCTCATTGTTCGTTGCTCCCGAAGACTCATACTGATGGACACTGCAAGGAAAGCCGTGCCGGCTCAGGCCTTGACCCGACTGGTTATAGGAGTAGGAGGAGTCCTGGGAATGGGAAGACAGGAAGGAGAAAAGCTGCGTCAATGGAGGCCGTCAACATCAGAGAGGTTAGTACACATCTTTCCCCAAACAGGAAAGTACTTGAAAAGATTCCCACCACTAAAACTGCCTCCCACTTTAATCACGAAGAAAAACACTGTTAAGATAAAAAGGGGCCTGGCAGTGGTGGCACACGCCATTAATCCCAGCACTCGGGAGGCAGAGCCAGGCATCCGGATCTCTATGAGTTCGAGGCCAGCCTGGGCTACAGAGCGAGATCCAGGAAAGGCGCAAAGCTACACAGAGAAACCCTGCCTCAAAAAAACATAAATAAATAAATAAAACAAAAAGATAAAAAGGGGAAGCCCTTTCAAGTAAAAGGCACCAAACTCCTAAATATGATGGCTGGAATCTACCTCAATGCAAGTCACTTTTGTGAACACTTCACAATCAATCTTACTACCTCACAATTCATCCAATGACTGAATAATTAGTTTTCCTCCTTAAATAGTAAAAGCCTCAGGAACTCATCCCAAAGCAGACACTGTTCTGTCTGTGGCTTCTGTAAACGACACCACAGATAGTGCTGTGCTACTTTACAGTTTTTCACCTTCTGTCCACATACCATTTGAGGATGTAAAATACATTGCTTGATTCTGTTTAACATTCAGATAGTATCACAGTAAAAAAATAAGCATTTTTCTGTCTTTTTAAAAAAGATGGAGCTGGAGAGATGGCTAGCAGTTAAGAGCACTGGCTGTTCCTCCAGAGGACCCAAATTTGATTATCAGTAGCCACAAGGCAGCTCATAACTGTAACTCTAGTTCCAGGGAATCTGCCTCTAAAGGAACCAGGCACACTCATGGTGCATAAACATATATGTAGCCAGTACATCTATACATAAGAAAAAAAAAGTACAAAAAAGAATCTTTTTTCTAAATACTTTTTTTTTAAGATTTATTTATTTATTATGTACACAGAAGAGGGCACCAGATCTCATTACAGATGGTTGTGAGTCACCATGTGGGTGCTGGGAATTGAACTCAGGACCTCTGGAAGAGCAGTCGGTGCTCTTAACCTCTGAGCCATCTCTCCAGCCCAAGATAAGAATCTTAAAAAAAAAATCCCCGGGGCTGGAGAGATGGCTCAGTGGTTAAGAGCACTGGCTGTTCTTCCTGAGGTCCTGAGTTCAATTCCCAGCAACCACATAGTGGCTCACAACCATCTGTAATGAGATCTGGCGCCCTCTTCTGGCCTGCAGGGACACATGCAGGCAGAGCAAAGTATGCATAATAAATAAATACATCTTTAAAAAAAAAAAAAAATCCCCAAGCAATAGCATCTATAAGAAAAAAACAAAAACATGAATTAAGCTGCACTAATGCTGTAGGGTAGTAATCAACTTTGCAGTTAGTCTCCCTTCACCAATGGCAAATACAGAGACGTGTCATCTTATACTCTCTTAATCACCTAGAGATCAAAAGAACAGCATGTGGAAGGTGTCCTACCTTAGGTTGTTGGGGTGGCGGTGAAGGAGGTGGCTGAGGAGAACTGTTGCCAGGCCAGGCGGAAGCACTTTCTGACATGTAGAGATTCCCAGGTGCGACTGAGGGCGCAGCTGAAGGCCAGGGGTAACGGGCCCCCATCCCATAAGCACCAGAAGCCCAGGCATCATCTTGTGGTCGGACAGTCGATCCTGACTGTGGCACAGTGCGGTTACCATCTCCATAGGGATAATGGGGCAAGGTCATTGCAGGATTCTAGATTGGGAAAAATAAGTATGCAAGTATGCTAGTTGGTCATTGCTTCAAAAAACAAAACAACAAAAAACCTTAAAAGTAATAAAAAATAGCATGGACAGGTCCTGACCTGCTAGTAACTCATTAATCAATTATCTAAAATTCTCCACACCTGAGAAACCTGGACTCCAAAAATACAAAGAACAGAGTTGGTCAAAGACTCAGGAGTAAGACCTAAAATCCACTGGATGAAAGCATTATGTATTTCCCAAAAACACTACAGCTAAATGAAAGAATCCATACACTATAAACGCAAAGACAGTAGAATTCTTCTCAAAACAAACAGAAATAAACATGGCATATTCTTTTTTTTTTTTTTTAAAGTGTTTTGAGACAGGGTTTCTCTCTGCAGCCCTGGCTGTCCTGGAACTCACTCTGTAACTCAGGCTGGCCTCATACTCACAAAGATTCTGTCTCTGCCTACCAAGTGCTGGGATTAAAGGCGTGTACCACCACCGCCTGGTCCAACATGGCATATTCTTACCATATTAATATAAACCTAACGGCACTGGAAAAGCTTAAGTTAGGAAAAGTTCTGAACAACAACTAGAGATTTAGTGTTACATAAGTTAATTGGGGGCTGTAGAAATGTGCCAGAGGTGAAGAGCACACACTGCACTTCTAGAGGACCCTGAGTTCAAGTCCTAGACACCATGTCAGGGGGCTCCCAAACCTGTCACTCCTGTTCCAGGGGCTCTCACATCTCTGGCCTTCGTGAGAACCTGCATTCACGTACACGTGTACAAACACAATCACATGTGCATGTACACACACACACACACACACACATTATTAAAAATAATGAAAAGAAGGGGGCGGACAAAAGAGGAGCCAGGTATGGTGGCATATGTCTTTAGTCCCAGCACTCAGGAAGTAGAGGCAAGCAGACTGCTGTGAGTTTGTGGCCAGTTTGGTCTGTACAGGAAGTTCCAGACACCCAGGGCTACATACTGAGACCTGGTCTTAAAAAGAAAGGAAAAAATTGTAATTGAGGGCTGGTGAGATGGCTCAGTGGGTAGAGGCACTGCTGGGCAAGTCTGGTGACCTGAGTTTGATCCCTGGAACCTACAGAAGGTAAAAAGAGAGAACACACTCCACACAGTTGTCCTCTGACTTCCACACATAGGCTGTGTGCGTGTATCATCCCCAACTCCCATTATGCACACAAACAATAAATATAACTTAGAATTTAAAAGAACTATAATTAAGGTACCTTTGGCCAAAATCCTTCATAGAAAAATCTCTAAACATCCAGTGTTTTCTTTTTTGTTTTGTTTTTGAGGTAAGGCCGCACTATGTAGCCTTGGATCCTCTCAAACTCCAAGGGATTTGCTTGCCTCTGCCACATGATTATTGGGATTAAAGATGTCACCATGCCTGGCTCTAGTTTTCTTAAACTCTTACTTGTATAGATAACTATCTTTGCACTGTTGACGTTTTTCCCTGACGGAAGACTGCTTACCTGTGAAGCAGGATATCCTGGGACCTGACCCCGGAGAGGAGGTGCTTCTGTCTGACAGTCCTGCTGGGAATATATCCAACGAGAGACTGGGGTTGGGCTGTTACCAGGTGAACGGTAAGTGCTTGGAACTTCCGTGGAGTAATTGCTTTGAGTGTAGCCAGGTACATAATAAGCCCCAGAGTATGAGGCAGTATTTGGTCCAGGACCAGGAGGGTATGGTGGACCATATGCTCCATTTGTATAAGAATTCAAACTCTGAAAAAAATGAAAACCAGAGGGAAAGAAAGACAATGAGTTAAAGAGCTGAGATGCACTTACTGTCCAACCTTGGGAACCTTAGGAAGAAAAGGTACCGGTAACTGATGAAAATCTCAGCACCTCGGCAGTCCAGGAAGCGCTCATTCTCTTCCCTATTGTAACCACAGCCATGCACTCAGGCTGTGACTTTAAGTTACATTGCATCAATGGAAGAATCTACTGTGATGATGAAGTGACAAAGTAATGGCCTTCTCAAAGGCGTTCACAAATATAATTCACAAGTACAAATCTAGTAGCAGAGAACTCGGATCCAGAAGGTGACCCTAGGAAACCTGGGGGACTAGCTAGAGGAAAAAAAGTACCTCTATGAGAAAAAAAGTGCCACTATATAAAAGAAAGGATAAAGAGAGAAATCCTAGCCCTCACCCTGTAATTACTCTTAGCTTCAGTTTCTCTAACAGAAACATCAAGAGCCTAAACTTACCTTGCAGGATTACTGAGAAAATTAAGGGAGATAACAACATGCTCAACAGATGGTGATTACATTGCTGTAAGTATTATGACGAGTTCAGGAAATGAACCCAAGTCTGATTCTACAGTCCATATTGAACAATGAAACCACCCTGCTTCCCAGATAACACCAACAACAGACAACAAACTCCTCAGTATACTGTTTACTAGTGTGGTTGTTGCTTTAAACAACACTGTGGACTAAACCCATGGCCTTGTATATGCCAGACAAGTGTTACCAAGATACAGTGCCAGTTCCTTTTCCGTGGTTTTAAATCATCTCCCCAGACTATTACATTGCTAATACCCAGAATCCTGCTTAGTGCTCCAAATAAGATTAAAGCGAAGCCCTAAACTTAAACTACTACTTTAATGTTTTCTGTTCTTTTCTGTGTGCGTGCATGTGTGTGTGTGTGTGTGTGTGTGTGTGATGTGGAGGAGACATGCATGTGCCACAGCATCCTTTTGGAGGTCAAAAGACAATCTAGAATGTAAGTCCTTTCTTTCACTTGTCTGTGAACTTGTTTGACAGTCTCTTAGTCCCTGTTTTATACCCCTGGCTAGGGGTTACAGACATGGCTGCTGCATTTAGCCTCTGTGTGGCTCTGGGAATCCAAATCCAGGCCATCATGGTTGCATGGCAGACACTCTGTCCACTGAGCCATCTCCCCAGCCCCAGTTAGCTTTTACAATTGTAAAATCATGTTTTCTTGTAACCACTGCTGTCTCTGACCCTTTTCAGGACTAAGGAGGATGAGGCAGAAGACAGACAGCCTGGCCAGTATTAGTAGGACCTGTTTCAAAAGACAAATTAACAAGAGAAACAAAATAAAACTGCTCAAAGGATTGCATGTGTCAGGGACAAGAAGAGATTAAAGAGCCAAGTAATATTTCCCCAGAAGCCCTTGAGGTGTTCAGGCTGAAAAAGGTACAGATTTGATAAGACATCATGTGACTTTTTGGTGTGTAACTTGGCTTCCCAAGGAAATCATTCAACTGGAAAAAAGTCACAGGTATGAAGTAGCTCATGTACATTATTTGTAATTACACAAAAAAGACAGGGTAGGAGAGAAGGCTCAGTGGTTAAGGCACTGGCTGTTCTTCCAGAGGACCCAGGTTCAGTTTTCAGCACCCACATGGTGCTGTGTAACTCCAGTTCCAGGGGATCTGATGGCTTCTTCCAGCCTCTATGGGCACTGTATACATGTGGTGGACATACATACAAGCAGGTAAAGCATCCATAGCTATAAAATAAAAATAAGGAACTTTTTTTTTTTTTTGGTTTTTCGAGACAGGGTTTCTCTATGTAGCTTTGCGCCTTTCCTGGAACTCACTTGGTGCGCCACCACCACCCAGCAAAATAAGGAACTCTTTAAAAAATTAGTTACACAAAATATAGAATCTAAAGCTGGGCAGTGGTGGTGCACACCTTCAATCCCAGCACCATGGAGGCAGAGGCAGGCGGACCTCTGTGAGTTCAAAGCCAGCCTGGGCTACAGAGTGAGTTCTAGGACAGCCAGAGCTACAGAGACCTTGTCTTAAAAAAACCGGAAAAAAAAATTATATACATAACATGTTTCGTGTGTCCTGTATAATGAAATGACTAAATAGATAAAAACTATTCTTATTTTTTTGTTTTTGTTTTTTTTTTTTTTAAGGAAGTTTCAGAAATTTTATTTACTTTTACTTCATGCACATTGGTGTTTTGCCTATAGCCGTGTGAGGGTGTCAGACCCCCTGGAAGTGGAGTTACAGACAGCTGTGAGCTGCCACATGGGTGCTGGGAATTGAACCTGGGTCCTCTACAAGAACAGCCAGTGCTCTTAACCACTGAGCCATCTCTCCAGTCCCAAGGACTATTCTTTGAAGGAATTTTATTCAATCTGTTGTTGGAAACAAAGTAAGTTTAATTTTAGAATCGTTTCCTTGTAAGAATTCTTTCTTTTTTTTTTTTGAAACAGGTCTCATTATGTGGCTTAACTGTCCTGGAACTTGCTACATAGTCAGGGATGGCCTTGAACTCAAGAGATCCTTCTGCCTCTGCCTCTTGTGTATTGGGATTAAAGGTGTGTGCCATCCCCTCAGCCAGGTTGCAGAAGCTGCTCAGTGTCTGTGTCCTGCTCTTGTTCTCCTGGCTTAGTGGAGACAAGCCTCTGCGGCAAACATACTCCACTAGATCATTGGGCAAGCCAAGAAGCATCCCAGCTTGATCCCTCTCTCCGTAGTTACTGAAGCAGGAGGTGTTGGAGCAGCACTGTATGTACTGTACAGCCCAGATGTCGGCTGTGACAGGAAGAATAAACCAGAACCTTGGAACAAACTGGGTCCCAAAAACAATACAAAGTCTACTCAGTGAAACAATTACAGCAAACTGAAGAAAGAAGGCCCCGACTTCTGAACTATGAAGTCCATTATAAAGCTAATAAAAATGAAGGTCTTTCAGAAGCCATCTGCACTTAACCAGGAATATTTCTCCTCTGAATGCATGAAATCATGTTGATTTTTTTGAAGTTTATTACACTGATAAAAAAAATCTCTGAAACTTGATACATGCCATTATTTTTTTAATTTGTTTGTTTGTTTTTGAGACAGGGTTTCTCTGTGTAGCTTTGGAGCCTGTCTGGATCCTGCTCTGTACACCAGGCTGGCCTCGAACTCACAGAGATCTGCCTGCCTCTGCCTCCTGAGTGCTGGGATTAAAGGCGTGCCTACCACCACCCGGCAATACATGTCACTATTTAGCACTGAAAATCCATATGGGACTTTATAGAAATTTAAAGGAAAAAAAAGTGTGTGTCCCCATGCCTGGTGATATCTACTTCTTTACTTCTTTACTGTGTGTGCAACAGTGGTGAGGTCATATGTGCACATATACTGCAGCACACAATGAGTCCAGAGGACACCTGGTGAGAGCTGTCTCCTCCAGCACGTGGACTCCAGGACCTGAACTGGGTGATAAGCCTTGATGACAAGTACCTTTACCCACTGAGGTATCTGGCTGGCACTCCCTTGTGAAGTTTAGTCATGCTATGTATATCAGTCACTTTTCTATTGCCATGATAAAACACTCTGACCAAGGCAACTGAAGAGGAGAGTTCATGTGGGCTTTTGGTTCCAGAGGGTGAGTCCATTGTGGTGGATCGGAGGCACAGAAGCTGGAGCAGTAAGCTGAGAGCCATAATCTTAAACTATAAGCACAAAGCAGAAAGAGTGAGCTCGGAGTGACTCAAGTCTTTAAACCCTCAAAGTCCTCCCCAGTGAGATACCACTTAAATCTCGAAAACAGTACCACCAATTGGGGACCAAGTATTCAAGTGCCAGAGCCTATGGGGACAGTCTCATTTAAACCACCACAATATGGTAGTTAAGTTTACTTACAAGCAGTAAAATATGCTATTTGATATTTGCTTCAAAATATTCTAAGAAAATACCCCAAAGATAAAGACAATATGGTCAAGTGCTGAGACTTGTGGATGCTGAGAGAACATTTATTTCTACTTTTGTTTAATATGGAAGGGAGGAGGGAGAAGCTGGGTGTGGTGATCAGAGGCCCATACACAATTCCTGCACTCAAGAGGCTGAGGGGAAGTTCTGTCAGGGAGTCTGTATGCTGCACAGGACAGGCAAGCACACAAGTGTGCAACAGGGCAGCAGAGAGGGCTCACGGGGTAAAAGGGCCTGTTTTGCAAGCCTAATGACGTGAGTTTAACCCCTAGAGCCCAGGGAAAAGGCTCCTGAGAGCTGTCTCTGACTTCCACAAGTGCACTGTGCACACTCCCACCCACACCCAGCACACATCACACACACCCAGAATGCTAAAATACGGATGAAAACATTTAGGAAACGTACTGTTTCAGGTGTGTACAGATGACACAGGGAAGGCTGAAGATGCACTCCCCACATATAACCATGTTAGAGCGGCACAAGCAGTTACTTAGGCTCTCTCCCTACTTCTCAGTTTCGCGTACACGTCTGTCTGCGACGGGCCTTACTCTGCAATCACTGTGAAGCCTGTGCTGGTGCTGAACTTGGGGTTCTCCTTATCTCTGCTTCTGCATCCTTTCCTCCCCCTCCTTTTTTTTGTTTTGAGACAGGGTTTCTCTGTAGCTCTGCCTGTCCTAGAATTTACTCTGTAGACCAGACCTTGAACTTTTGAGTTCAAGGCCAGCCTGCCTCTGCCTCCTGAGTGCTGGGATTAAAGGCGTGGACCACCACCTCTTGGACAGTTTTCTTAAGGCATGATCATGACTAATTTTTCCTTCAGTATCTCAGCCATCTCAGGAACCATCTTAAGTAAATCGGCCAGGCAGTGATGGCACACGCCTTTAATTCCAGCACTGGGAGGCAGAGGCATGCGGATCTCTGTGAGTTCAAGGCCAGCCTGGGCTACAGAGTTCCAGGAAAGGTGCCCAAAAAAACTACAGAGAAACCCTATCTCGAAAAACAAACAAAAAAAACAAGGTAAATCCGCCACTTCCATATCTGCCATTTGCAAAATCGGCGCTTCTGGGTCTTTGTTAATAGCTACAATTACCTGTTGTCCTTCATCCCAGCTAAATACTAGATGGCTCTAGACATCCCGACAGCAATATAAAGTTCTGGTGCTACTACTTGTCCTGTCTGACCAGCCTGCATGCCGTTAGGAACAAAGCCAGCATCGAGAGCAGCATGGAAGCACCGACTGCACCGTGTAGTTGACTTACGAGTCATCTGACAACTTCAAACTCAGACCCCAGACGCTACCACTTTGGCACCAGTTCTAGTCAATCCATGTCTAGTTTAGCCATGCTCCTACTCCTGCTGGCACAGAACGTGGTGCCTTTCCTGAACTGGAACTACCCCCACTTGTTGCTGCAGCCTCCAAAGTTGTTCCCTGAGAGCCAGGCAGTGGTGGCACATGCCTTTAATCCCAACAGGCAGAGGCAGGCGGATTTCTGAGTTCAAGGCCAGCCTGGTTTACAGAGTGAGTTCCAGGACAACCAGGGCTACACAGAGAAACCCTGTCTTGGAAAAACATAAAATAAATAAATAAAAAAGCTTTAAAATTTTTTTTTAAAGTTCCCTGAAAAGGAAACATCTTCATTTTTCTGTCATCACACTTCACTGTTTATAAAGTATTTCCTGCATAGATAGTGTCATAAATGTGTCATGTGACTTGATCTCAATGATGTCAGAAATTGGGGAATATCAAGTTTGGGTGCTACTCTGGGCCAAAGGTTCTTTCACAAGGCAGACACTCCAGCACAGATGTTGTGTAACTGAACTGCTTCTGAGTTTCCAAAGTCAATGGTGTTCGTTCCTCTGGAAGAAGGCCTTTATATGCATCATGCTAAGCCACCAGGACTTTTGCCACACCAGCTACTTTACCATTTTGTCACATTTGGTTCCAGCCACCAAGTGAGACACTTCACCTCCAAGATGCTTGGCTGCAGTGATGGTATTTAACAAAACAGGTGTTACAGAATCACTTGCATATTCAGCTATTACCAAGGTACCGTGAAATCAGAGCAACCCAGAGCTGCAGAACTTCACACCAGACAAAATCCCCACAGAGAAAAGGGCAAGTGGACACAAACTCTCATCCTTTACCAAGAAGCTATCTGCAGTTAGTACCTGCAGAGAAAGGGAAAATCAGTATTCTCCAACGGAGCAACACTGGGTGTATCAACTACACTCCAGGGCAGGTCCCATGTCCAGGGGTGTTGGCCCACACAAAGTTCTGGTTTTTTGTGTGTCTCTTTTTTCTCTGTGTAGCTTTGCGCCTTTCCTGGATCTCTCTCTGTAGACCAGGCTGTCCTGGACTCACAGAGATGCGTCTGCCTCTGCCTCCCAAGTGCTGGGATTAAAGGCGTGTGCCACCACTGCCGAGCTTGTGTGTTCTTTTTGGGTTTTTTTGCTTTGTTTTGTTTTGGTCTTATTGGTATCTGTTTTTATTTTCTTTTTTGGGTACATAGGGAGGTGGGGAGAGCTGGGAAGAACTGGGTAACAGAAAAGAATATGATCAAACTATATTGAGTGAAAAAATTTAATAAAATAAAAAATGAAAGTGTTAAAACGAAACCCATTATTATATATACTTAATACATGCTAATAATTTTTCAAGTTGAAGCTTGCTAGAGTGCTTACCTAGTATTCATGAAGCTCTGGGTTTGATCCCTAACAATGAATAAACCTGGGTATGGTAACAGGGGCCTGTAATCCTAGTACTTAGGAGATGGAGCCATAAGAATCAAGAAGTTCAAGGTGATCCTCAACTACATACAATTTCAGGCCATCCTATGCTACATAAAACTGTCTTTAAAAAAAAAAAAGGAAGAAAAGACAGAAAAAAAATCTCAATTTTCAACCATACCTGGCCTTGTAACTCTGGTCTCACAGGATATGCACTTGGGTATGGGGCCCTCGGTCGCACAGAATTCCAGTAGTTAGAATTATAGCCAGGATATGGTGGCTGTTCCTAAGGAAAACGGGAAAACAAGTTAATTTCAGAAGCATCCTTTCTGTTGTCGATGCCTTCTTTTGAACCAGTTTCCCTCTGTCCGCCAGGCCAGCCTGAGACTGGCTATGGCACCAGGGCTGGCATCAAACTTGCAATCTTTCTGCCTCTACCTTCCCAGCTAGAATCACAGGTGTGCATTACCATGCCCAAGTCACTCTTTTTTTTGTGTTTTGTTTTGTTTTGTTTTTCAAGACAGGGTTTCTCTGTGTAACAGCCCTGGCTTTCCTGGAACTCTTCTGTAGACCAGGCTGGCCTTGAACTCAGAGATCCTCCTGCCTCTGCTTCCTGAATGCTGGGAATAAAGGCGTGCACCACCACTGCCTGGCCCAATTCACTCTCAATAATGGTTAGATAGCAAAGTAGATACTTCTAACAAGAGGCAAGATAATGGAGATCAAAAAGAGCAGACATAAAAAGGAGCCCTAATATAAAGCCACTATAAAAGGAGAAAAATAAAATAAAATAAAGCCACTATCACCATTATTAAACTTAAAAAGATAAAGTACACCGTATATCACAAGCCCCAGAACAAAACAACTGTTGGAGAGCTGGTAAAGGCTGGTCTCGTGCATTACACACCACACCGAAATGATAATAGAAGAATTCTATGTCAAGATGACCAGCAAACCACAGGCAGTGGTTTGCCTTTTCCCAATTCCAGTCACTACCTCTGTCAGCACATGTTGAGTATACCCAACTGAAAACCTGAAATCCAAACTGCTCTAATTTTGGATATTTTGAGCTTTGATATGACATCCCAAGAGGAAAAAGTCACACTTGACCTCATGTGATGAGCTGCAGTCAAAAGGCATGTAATGGACAGGGAGAGTGGCTCAGTGGCAGAGCACTTACCAAGCTCATTCAAGGCTCTGGGTTCTATTCCCAGCACAGCAAAACAAACAAAATGCAGAGGCATTAACATGGTGTATAGTTACCTTCAAAGCCTTGTGTAAAAGTTGTACATAATGAATTTCATGTTTAGATTCAGGTCCTGCCTTCAAAATAACTCATTATGTTTATGAGGTATCTTTTAAAAATCTGAAACCTGAAATACTTCTGGTGCCAAACATTTCAGATAGGAGATATTTAGCCTGTTCAACCAGTACAACATAAAATTATTTGTCACTCTTTAGAATACTGACTCAACAACATTGGAACATGGAACTATTACTGCTCAAGTTAACTACAAGGACGTACATCTGTTTCTTTGTATTCTAGTACTTTCTCCTATGGCTAAGCTTTCTGCTTATGACCTAGAACTTTAGTGCCATCAATTCTATAGAACAGTCACCATTTGAAAGAGTAAGTCTAGCTGTGATAACATCATCTTTTCAGGCTCTTCTTCAAATAAACTGCAGTAAGCCACTATACTCTTGTAAGAATCTTCCAAACCAATTCTTACACCTTTCTAAAGTACTGACTGCTAGCTTAAGACATGACATGTTTATTATTCAGTAAGGTGAGTTACTTTGCTTTGAACTTACAGCTCAAGTGTACTTTGGCTCATAACAAACCATTTTTATTTCCTTTAAAGAAGAGGGTTTTTGTGTTAGTTTTTGTGGTTTGTTGGTTTTGCTGGATTAAACCTGGAGTTATAGTTTATCTACACTCTCTTCCATGACTTTAACTCATGAGTAAAGACATGAGAAGACATGGGCTGAAGCCGACTGCCCCAGAGGTGGTGAAGCTAAGCCTATAAATCTTCAAAATTCCACCAAGGGTCTGGCCTTCCAGCTGACTTTATAAGGTTCACTTTTACCAGTATCCCCCACACTACTTATTTCCTCTCTTCCCAACTGAATTTCCTGACACCACAGTCCCTTGCTTTCCTTTCTTCAGATAGACTCACCTCACAAAACCCAAACCCTGTGGAAATGCAGTTATCCACTGTGCAGAGAAAACACAACCAGCTCTCCAGTTTGTTTTTCGTTTAGTTTCTTTTTTTCTTCCCACACTGGGGATTAAACCCAGAATTTTGTGATGCTAGGCAAGTATTCTACCAGCATGGTACATCCCTAGCTATTTGTTATTTTTGTTTTGAGACAGGGTTCTACAGAGTTGCCAGGCTGGTCTGGAAACTTCTACCCTTTCAGCTTAAGCTTCCTCAAGAGATGGGTTGCCTGCCTGGACCACACACTCTTCTCCTGTTTTCGCTTTGCACTGTTAGCCTAAGTCTCAAGAAGGCACCCAGCGCTGCTGAGAATCACAGAGACTCCTCAGTAGCCTTGCTCTCACTCTCCACAGGGTTTCTCTGTGTAGTTTTGGTGCCTGTCCTGTTCTTGCTCTGTAAACCAGGCTGGCCTTGAACTCAGAGATCAGCCTGCCTCTGCCTCCTGGAGTGCTGGGATTAAAGGTGTGTACCACGGGGCGGTGGTGGGGCACGCCTTTAATCCCAGCACTCAGAGTTCAAGGCCAGCCTGGTCTACAAAGTGAGTTTCAGGAAAAGGGTCAAAAAGCTACACAGAGAAACCCTGTCTGGAGAAACCAAAAAAAAAACAAAAACAAACAAACAAACAAACAAAACAACAACAACAAAAACAAATGCCCATTATACATTATACATTTCCAGTTTTATCTCAGATTACTATGTGCACAGCTTGACTCCAACCAAACTTTACAACTCACCACACGACACCAAACTTTAGCTTTTGCAAGTCTTTCCCTAACTTTTTATCTCTACCCCCAGAAAACAGACTTTTAGTTTGATAATAAAGCAAACTCAATAGAAGCCAGTTGGCAGGGCTGGAGAGATGACTCAGAGGTTAAGAGCAATGACTGCTCTTCCAGAGGTCCTGAGTTCAATTCCCAGCACCCACATGGTGGCTCACAACCATCTGCAATGAGATCTGGCACTCTCCTCTGTGTACATAATAAATAAATAAATCTAAAAAAAAAAAAAAAAAAGAAGCCAGTCGGCAGTTTAAAGATCAACTCCTTTTCCTCATCAACTGATCTGTAATTTGGGTACTTAAAAAGGTTGAATACTTCATCACTAGATCATGTGATTGAAGTCCAACGGCCTATTCCATTCTGCTTACTCAATCAGCACAGAAAACATGGATTCTTCTTTACGTTAACCTCTTAAGACTGCATGTTTTTATTCTTACACAATTTTTAGAGAAATACTTAGCCCACCTTTAAAAGTATACAATTCAGTGGTCTTTAGGGTACTCAAAATCGTGAAGCCATTATCACTAACTTCAGAACACTGTATTGCTTCGGAGCCCAGTTTTTCAACACGTCTTTCCCGTCCCCAACCCCAGGGTCTCTAGGAACTGCTTACTCTGGCACTATATATACATGGAGTCACACAATATGAAACCAAAATCCTTGTGACTAGCTTCACCCACCATGTATGATGTATTCAAGGTTCATCCATGTTGAAACAAACATGTATAGGAACTTCATAACTTTCTGGATGTTATGTTCTAAAACATATGCCATGTTTGCTAATCCAGCCATCAGTTGATAACTATATGTTACTTCCAATTTTGGCCATTGTGAGTAATGATGCTATAAAGATGTGTTAAAATTTTTTATGTGCACGTTTTCCGTTTCTTTTTTGTTTTTGTGTTATTTGTTTATTTGAAACAAGGTCTTACCATGTAGCTCCGACCGTCCTGGAACACACTATGCAGACCAGGCTGGCCTGACTCTGCCTCCTGAGTGCTAGGAATAAAGGCATGCACCACCAACTGATTTCCACTTTTTTTTTTTTTTTTTTTTTTTTTTTTTGGTTTTTCGAGACAGGGTTTCTCTGTGTAGCTTTGGAGCCTGTCCTGGAACTCTGCAGACTAGGCTGGCCTCGATCTCACAGAAATCCGCCTGCCTCTGCCTCCCAGTGCTGGGATTAAAGGTGTGGGCCACTTTTTTAGTATACTTAATAAGTGGATCTGCTGGATCATAAGCTAATACTATGCCACAAATTTTAGGAACTACCCAGCTATTTCCCACGAACTGTACTATTTTGTAATCCCGTCATTAATATGTGAGAATTCTGTAATTCATTTTCAGCAAATAAAGATGTTATGAAGGCCAAAAGATGTGTGCCACCGTCCTATAATAGCTCCATACAAGGAGAAACTAGAAATACATTTTTGGCACGTATACATGTAATAAAATGTTACAGGTCCAAACATATTAAGCAAGTTAATCTCTCAGAGCCTTCTTCATTCAAAGATAGGGAAGCATGAACAACATCTGTCTTTCCGTCTTGTGGTGATTAAATAGAACATAAAGGTAGTACTTTGCAACATTGATTATTCGTGATTCAATCCCAGGCAAAGCTTTAGCGATAAGGGATTAAATGGCCAGTACCCCCAGCCCACCCCCGGCCCGTTCAACCCCACCCCGCGGGAGGGGCTGCTGAGTAACCACTAGGGCTGCCGCTGCCCTAGCCCTAGCCACGCAGGATAAATTGTTACAGCCCGATCCCTCTAAACCTACGCTCTCGGGAGAGCGATCCTGCAGCCTGCTACTTAAAAGCCTAGGAAGTCAGCGCAGAATCATTTTTGCTTTCTTGATGTGAACAAGCACCCCGATGATGGCTGAAGTAAACACGAAGGGACGCACGGAACAGAACACAAGCAAACATGTATGTCCCCCCCCCCCTTCACGTCTCCAATCCCTGTCTCGGCACCCTCCTCGGAAGAACAAATAATCACAAACCTGAATCGTAGCAAACCCTAAGTCTAAAAACCCCCCCAATGGTCCTCACCTCCGCCCAAGACTTCCCTACTGGATCCCCGGGAAGGACTGCGAAGCTTACCTGGTGTCCGCCTCCGGCTCTGCTCGGCTCTGCCCAGGCGCCTCCAGAGGGGTAGTAGGCATCGCCACCTGCGCCTTCTCCGGGCCAGGTGGTCTCGGCCGGGGCGCCCCCGCGCCCTCGCCAGGAAACGGGAGGCTGGGGAGGCTCGGGGCGAAGAGGAGGGTATAAGGGCGGAGGGACGTGCACCGGGACATCGCCTCCGCCGGGCCCATAGTAGCGGCCGTACGAAGAAGGGCCGTCACTGGGGCCGTAGCCCGAGCGCCTCAGGGCCGACATGGGCTCCGCTGCCGCGAAGCGCTTCCCGCCCCCCACGGCCGGCCCATCGCGCAGGCGCATGCGGAGGACAAGCACTGGCTGGCGGAGAAAGGGGTCGGACGACGGCAGCCAATCCGGAGCCGGCCCTACCCCTAGCACGCCGAGCGCCGGGAGGAGATGGACCGTAGCCGTCACTCCGGGAAAGCCAAGCGCGGCGCCGCGCTCGTCACGCAGGGCAAAACGCATGCTCTCCGCCCTCGGTCCCCTGAGCCTGCACTCCACTCCACTGCCCAGAGAGCAAGAGAGAGAGAGGTGCCTGCGATCGCACGCCCGGCACGCCTTTTTATGTAGACGGACGCGCGATACCGGAAGTGGGTGGAGTAACCGGCAAGCGCTTCCGGCGGCTAGCGGCAATTGAGTTGCAGGTGAGCGGGCGGCGGGTTCCCGTCCGCGTCCCGCCGACGGGCGACTGGACGCCCCTCGCCCCACCACGGCTGTGCAGTGCAGCCTTGCCTGAGCTCAAAATGAACTATATGCCCGGCACCGCCAGCCTCATCGAGGACATCGACAGTGAGTACCTCTCCCCGGGGGAAGCCTGCTGTGGGACCCTTTCTCGAGTGGGGTCCTCTGGAGCTTGGAGAGGGAGCCCTGGGCCCCGGCGGGGTGGCCTGTCTTCACAGCCTCGGGGCCCACCCCTAACCTGCCTCCCTCTGTCCCTGGAGTGCTGACCACCCCCCAAGCTGTGGAACTCCTGCCGAGGGGTGCAGCATCCGACGTGCGAACTGTGAAGTGGTCCAGGCGACTTCCCTCGTGTGCCCTGCCTTTCACTGTAGTATTTCCAAGTTATATTTGACGGTGGATGGATGAGAGTGCTTACGGGAGGACCCACCCAAACCCCCCCAAAAATCTTAAGACAACAGCAGTTGAATTTAATTAGCAGTCAACGCGGGCCTTCTGTTGTGAAACCACTTGCAATCTGGTTTCTCTCTGAGGGTCCTTAGCACTTTCAGATTAAAGCTGTAGAGACAGGTGTCGGACGTAATAACTGACTTTGCAAGAAAGGTTAACTCACTTCAAACCTAACTTTTGTCTCTTCGACAGTTTTGCTTTTCCTGAAAATGGGTCAGTCCTGTACAAACCACGAGGAGACAGTTTTATCTTTTAAGGATAATTTTTATTTTTTCGTCTATGCATGTCTTGCCTGCATGTACATGCACCACCATGTGTGTGCCTGATAGCCACGAAGTCAGATGTAGTTTGGGTGCTGGGAACCAAACTCGTCCTCTGAAAGAGCAACAAGTGCCTTTCCTGGAACTCACTCTGTAGACCAGGCTGGCCTTGAACTCACAGAGATCCTCCTGGCTCTGCCTCCCGAGTGCTGGGATTAAAGGCGTGCCCCACCACCGCCCGGCGCCTCTAGCCTCACTTTAAATTACCCGCCACTCCCAAATTCTTTTCTTGGTATGATTCCTCAACTGTATGATTCCTCAAACGTCGGTTTGTTTTTTTGTTTGTTTTGGTTTTTTGAGACAGGATTTCTCAGTGTAACAACCCTGGCTATCCTGGACCTCTCTTTGTAGACCAGGCTGGCTTCCAACTCACAGAAATCCACCTGCCTCTGCCTCCCAAGTGCTGGGATTAAAGGTGTGCACAACCACTGTCCGGCTTTTCAAACAGCATTTCTAAAATAAAAAAAAAATAAAAAAAACAGCATTAAAAAAAAAAAGTGTGTGAGCATGTATGTCTGTGCACTGTGTGCTTGCCTGGTGCTGGGAAGACCAGAAGACATAGCATCCCTTGGAACTAGAGTTACAGACCGTTGTGAGCCACTATGTGGGTGCTGGGAATGGAACCTGGGTCCTCTGGAAGAGCAGCCAGTGCTCTTAAGTGCTGAGCCATCGCTCCAGCCCATTAGCAGCATTTTTAAATCATTTTAATCCTGTGACTTTCAAACGCCAAATGATTTATACAGCTTCAAACAAGTAAAAGTTTAAAAAAAATTAATTTACTGTGAGCTTGCAAATTAGCATCTAAGATTGCATTCTCAGTTATCAGTGAGTTTTATTTATTATGTATACAATGTTCTGTCTGCGTGTTTGCCTGCAGGCCAGAAGAGGGCATTAGATCTCACTATAGGTGGTTGTGAGCCACAATGTGGTTGCTGGGAATTGAACTCAGGACCTCTTGAAGAACAGTCAATGCTCTTAACCGCTGAGCCATCTCTCCAGTCCCAAGTGATCTTTTTTTTTTTTTTCAAGCCAAATTATTTTGCTGTCCAATGGAAAAGTATAGACCCGCCCAAATATATTGGACTTTAGGCTCATATATCTGTATTTCTATATATTTATAGATATATTTCTGTGTGTAGATAAATATAGAAATATCAGTATATATTTATAGATGTATATATAGATGTATAAATATATTTTATATATTGTATATTACATATATTTATAAATATTTATATAGATTTATATGTATTATAGCTACATACACATATATACACATACACACACACCACTTTATAAGCCTATCTGTGAAGTGTAATGGAATATTCTTTTAGTGGGGCCTTTGTTTATATATAGATATACACATACACACCCCACCATATAAGCCTATCTGAAGTGTAATGGAATATTCTTTTAGTGGAGCCTTTTACGTTCACCTTTCTTTATATGTCTGAATTACCTGAAGCCTCTAACAGCAAATCCTGCCATTTACTAAAATTGCTTGTGTTTTCAAGCCTTCCCATAATTCTCTGTGGATCCCAGGCCTTCTCCATTACTGAAAAATTTCAAACCATTTATCTACCCCTCACTCCCCTATGACAGCACACACACTGTTCTCTCCCGATCCTGGGTTTTTTGTTTTGAGACTGGGTCTCTACATAGTACTGGAACTCACCTGCCTCTGCCTCTCGAGCGCTCTAATTTAGGGTGTGTGCCACCATGCCTGGCTCAGCTATGTTTTTATCTGTCTGGCTCCGATATTTGTTTAGTTATGTGTCACCATCAGGCTTGTGTCCCTTTATGCATATCTTGGCTCATTGAAGCTTTGACTCTTCTGGCCACCTTTGCTGTCAGAAGCTTCGGTTTTTGTTCATTTGATTTTTATTTGGTTTGATTTCATCTTTGAGGCAGGCCCCTTCAGTCACAGCATTCCTTCTGTCTTAGTCTCTAAAATTCTGGGATTACAGACATGGGCCACCATGCCTGGCTTGAAGCTATAGTGTTTTTAAGGATTTATTTAGCAGAGTGGTGGTGGCTCACGCCTTTAATCCCAGCACTCGGGAGGCAGAGCCAGGCAGATCTCTGAGTTCGAGGACAGCCTGGTCTACAGAGCGAGATCCAGGACAGGCTGCAAAACTACACGGAGAAACCCTGTCTCGAAAAAGCAAGACTTGTTGTAGATGTAACCGTCTTGTTAAATAAGAAACACAGAGCCAATGCAGAGATGAAAGTCCAAGAGGTCAGAGTAATAGCTAAGCACTAAAAACCTTACCCTTCACTGCCGCTGCTGTCCTTCCCTCCACCAGAGACCTCCTTCCTGTGTCTCTGTCTTTTTATAGACTTTCTGTTCTGCCTTCTCATTGGTTGTAAACCCAACCACATGACCTCCTCGTCACTGCCCATCTATACAGACCTCCAGGTCTTCTATGGTTGGTATTGAGATTAAAGGCGTGTGTCTCCATGCTGGCAGTATCCTTGAACACACAGAAATCGCCTGGCTCTGCCTCCCAAGTGCTGGGATTAAAAGCTTGTGCCACCATGCCCAGTGAGCATTGGTGTCTTGTGGATACTGTTCTCCTGTACTCTGACACAGGCAGGAACGCCCAACAGGGTTTGGTCTTCCTGTTTAGAAGTGCGGCCTTTGTTGCTCTATTGTCAGAGACAGGATTCCCAGCTTTGTGGTCCTGAGAAGTCTATTTGCCTTTCCCATTTCCTCCCTTTTGGGCCTAAGATCGCCTCTTTCTTTCTTTCTTTTGGTTTTTCGAGACAGGGTTTCTCTGTGTAGCTTTGGACCTTTCCTGGAACTCACTCTGTAGACCAGGCTGGCCTTGAACTCACAGAGATCCACCTGCCTCTGCCTCCCAGTGCTGGGATTAAAGGCGTGTGCCACCACCGCCCAGCTTCTGCTATGGCTTGCTATTAGCTCTGACCCCCAAGGCAACTTTATTTATTAACATACAAATAAAATCACATTTCAATACAAATAAAATATCACCATAACTTGTTTTTGTCCTACAATAAATTTAGATTCATAAGATTGATGACTTTCAGACCTCAAAATAGTTTAGACCAGTGGTTCTCAACCTTCTAAGGCTTCAACCCTTTAATACGATTCCTCATGTTGTGGTGACCCCCCCAACCATAAAATTATTTTTGTTACTACTAACTGCAATTATGCTACTGTTATAGGTTGTACTGCAAATATCTGATATGTGACCCCCACAAAAAGGCCATTCAACTCCAGGGGGTCAAGACCCACAAGTTGAGTACCCCTGGTTTAGAGAAATGGGTCAGTGATTATGTGCATACTTCTCTTTCGGAGGGCCAGAGTAATTGCTGGCACCCACATCAGCAGTTCATTGAGCGCTGCCCATAACTCCAGTGCCAAGAGTCTGATGCTGCCTCCTGGGCTCTGCAAGCATGTACACAGACACAAACGCAACACATACATTGTGTTTAAAGCTTTTAACTGAATTCCTGCTCTAGGTCACCATCAAGTCTTACCTGTCTGAGGCGTTTTAGATTTATTTTGGAGGCTTTGCTTCTTGACTGTACACAGCCACTCTGAAGCATTGTTTTCACTTCAGATTTCCTTAATTGAAAGCAAAACGTGAAGCGGGGCGGTGGTGGTGGTGGTGGTGGTGGTGGTGGTGGTGGTGGTGGTGGTGGTGGTGGTGGTGGTGGTGCACACCTTTAATCCCAGCACTCGGGAGGCAGAGGAGGTGCATCTCGAGGCCAGCCTGGTCTACAGAGTGAGATCCAGGACATCCAGGGCTGCTACACAGAGAAACCCTGTCTTAAAAAATCAAAAACGGAGGGAGGAAAATGTGAGGAAGACTAGTTGAAATAATTCTAGGAGTGAGGTCATAGAAACCTAGCCGATGATGAAGGTAAATAAACTTCTGCAATTCCAGCACTTAGATGAAGGCAGGTCATCCTTAGCTGTATAGTAAATTTGAGCCCAACTAGGTTATGTAAAATCCTCTCAGAAAAATAAAAACTGTCTAGACTAAGTTTCTCTGTGTAAGATGGAGAAATTGTATGACACTAAGAGGGTTAAATGTGACTTCAGAGCCTGGAGCCAGCTGCCCTTCCTGGCTGCCCAGTGTCCTTCTCTAACTCTGCAGTACTATTCTGAGTCCTTCCAATACTGACATCATCTAAATCCCAGGCTGCCATAGTTTTCCACACACATGTTTTACAATGAACTCCACCTTAAATACATTAGAAGAGGGTCTGGTACAGCTTAAAACAGCTACAAACTGAATGTTTATTGTTACCATGTACACTCACTGAAACGGATAGCTTTTATTTAAAGATCTTTTCTCCTTTCCCCAGAAAAGCACTTGGTCCTACTTCGAGATGGAAGGACACTTATAGGTTTTTTAAGAAGCATTGATCAGTTTGGTATGTATTGTTGTGATCTTACTCTTTAATCCCATTGAATTTTTTTGGCGTTACTTCACATTCAGATTTACTTATTTCTAACTTTTCCCATGTGTCAGCAAAATGGAACTGTTTGGGGTGAGTAAATTGTTTTCAAATTATGGTTAGGTGTTTTAAAAGCTTGTATATTTACAAGTGTGTATTCTGAAACTGATTCTCACTAGTGATTTTATTTTCCCCATTAGAGGGAGCCAAATGATAGAAATAAAGTTAGTCTTCAAATCATTTCCTGGAGGCCGTCCCTCCCTGTCAATAGAGTAGAAGCCATTTCCTGAAACTTTTCTTGAGGGAGGGGGAACAATAAACGGAATAGTTTCCATATAGAAATAAACCAGATTTAGGGGGCGGTCTTCGTTTTGCAATCTGCATTTTCTGAAGTAAGATTTATGTTTCCCTTTGGTATAAAAAGCTTCTCAGTCATACTGAATGTTTGTAGGTCATCTGCTAGGTTGCTGGATTTGAGTGTAAGGATAAACACAGCTGAAACACCAGAATTTACAAGGTATGAACAGCCAGCCATATGCCTATAGTCTCAAATACTTGTTAGGCTGAGGCAAAAGGATCCTGTTGGAAACAGATCAAGAACCATCTCATACCAAAACAATACCAACATCAATTTCTGTTTTACTTCAAGTGAGACGAGTAGTACCAATTGAAAGAAGAAAAATAATTCCTACAGGTTAGTGTTCTAAATCTTAAGTTAGATTCATCAAAGTGCTTTGAAGGGGTGATTTTTTTAAGTATTTATTGTGTATAGTGTTCTGCCTGCATGTATGCCTACATGCCACAAGAGGGCACCAGATCTCATTATAGATGGTTGGGAGCCACCATGTGGTTGCTGGGAATTGAACTCAAGACGTCTGGAAGAGTAGCCAGTGCTCTTAACCTCTGAGCCATGGCTCCAGCCCTGAAAAGATTCTTGCTGTGTCATAGTCCATAAAAATTACATTGGGTTGCATGAATTATAAGAACCAAACAACAAATTAAACCTCAGTGAAGTTACATACACATATTCTCACAGCGTACATATATTCACACAGCAAAGGAAAACTCCTTCCAAAAGAACAGAGCTGTAATCTTGGCAGTTGTCTAGGTTCAAGTTTCCAGATTTCCGTTTGTTTATATTTTATAGGGACCATGCTGATACTAGCAGTTAAATAATACCAAAGTAACTTATTCCTACCATCATTCATTCATTAGCCCAACATAATGGGAAATACTCTTTCCTTATTTGAATGCCTCCTAAAAGTGAACGTATGCTGGCTCCTGCCTGCAATTGCAGCATGTATAAGAGGTTGAGGCAGGAGAATCATCACAAAATCTGGGACAGCCTGGATTACATCATGATTTCCAGACCAGGTGAGGCTGGAGTGAGACCCTACCCCACACACTCCCACCCCACCCCCCCCCCCCCACAAAAACCCAACCGAAAATGCCAAATTCTCCTAATGGTTTGTTATAATCAGTGAAATTAAAAAATAACTAAATAATTGAATCTGTTTCTTCTCTATGTGCTTGTAGCTAACTTAGTCCTGCATCAGACTGTGGAGCGCATTCATGTGGGCAAAAAGTACGGTGATATTCCTCGAGGGATTTTTGTGGTCAGAGGAGAAAATGTGGTCCTGCTAGGAGAAATAGTAAGTGAAAACTGCTAAGCTGCTATGGATCTGGGCCCTGATGCTAGCTGCCTTCTCCCCGACTGCAGCAAGCTTCTCACAAGAACCCACTAGTCAGGGAAGCTGTAGTTACCACAGCAACGCTGCCAAGGGTAATTAACATCATTCCATTGCCTTTTTGCATTTTAAAGATTTGCTCTCACTAGCAAAATAGCGTGGCTTATCTGATAGAAAACAATATTGCTGGTGCTCGCTTCGGTAGCCCATATACTAAGATTGGAATAATACAAAGATTAGCGTGGCCTCTGTGCAAGCATGGCACACAGATCCGTTAAGTGTTCCATGTTTGTTCATCTGGAAAGAAAGAAACAATATTGCTGGGTGTGGTGACTCCTGTCTATAATCCCAGCAGTTGGGAAGCGATGGTAGGTGGATCTCCTCTAGTTTGAAGCTAAGCGTGTGTTCCAGGCCAGCCAGGGCTCAAATGTAATACCCTCTTCAAAAGAATAAAACAAGAACGAATACGTTGATCCTTATGTGGTTTTTAAATAATCTCTGATAGCAAAAAGTTACAGAACTTGTTATATGTCCTGATTTATAAAGGTATAATTTAGAGCTGGGAGTATTTCACAATGGTAAAATCTTGCTTAGCACAGAAAACAAGATTTACTTGTTGGAATATTTTAATCATTTAAATACTTGGTTAGGAGCTGGAGAGATGGCTCAGTGATTAAGAGCACGTACTATTCTCACTGAGGGCCTCAGTTTGGTTCCTAGCTCACAACCGTCTATAACTCAAGCTCCAGTGGATCGCAGGACACCTGTGTTCATATGCACATACCATAGATAACGTAATTTAAAAAATAATGAAATTAAATGGTTGGTTGCACTTAATTTTTCGTGTCATGAAGTTAATCAGCAGCATTTGAGGAAAGTGTTGTAGATATTTTTAAAAAGGAAAACAACAGGTGTAGGGAAAGCCACTGTGAGGTTTCAGAGTGGAACTCAGGACTAGGGAGGAGGAGGAGGAGGAGGAGGAACCTGAGTATTTGTGCCAGAAAGAGCAGCCAGTGAAATGTTAAATTACATCTGAAGTATTACTGCTTGCTCTGTATATGTGTGTGTATGCACATCAGAAGATGATTGTGTGTGTGTGTGTGTGTGTGTGTGTGTATAGACATATATGTTTGAAGTATTCAGATTTTCTTTTAAGTACTCTATTTAAGCCTTGGATCCTATTGTGTTTGCTAGGAAAATCAAGTCCCTGTGAGACTGGTTGACATTTGGAGTGGGGTGGGGGCTGGGGCTCGGAAGTGCTGTGCTCTGGTAGTGTGTATAGTGCCACGAAAGAAGAGGGGGAAGAGAGGGAAGAGAGGAAGACGTTAAAGAATGAAAACAACCAGTTTGCCAGAAACATCCTGCATTTGATGTGTTCTCACTTGGTTTTTAGAGTCTCTCAGTGGTCAGCAATGTCCTTATTTAGTGTTCAGAAGTCTTTTGAGTAGAGCAGTTTCGTGTGTAGTTATTTTTCTTTTAACACTCTTTCAAGAAAATGAGAAAATTCTGTTGGGGATAGTTTGATGGAGAGGCCCTCCTGTTGGAAACCGCCTAACCCACTTGTGAGTGAGTCTGAGGTCAGCATGAGACCGTCCCAACATCCTGGGCTGGGGAGATGGCTCACAGGGGAAATGTTTGCCACACAAGCGTGAGGGCACCTACGTAAAAGCCAGGCATGGTGGGGCAAAGCTGTCACTCCAGCACTGACAGGGAGCTCAGAGGCCAGCCAGTCTAGCTGAAACCAAGAGTTCCAGGTTCCTTGAGAGACTATCTCAAAAAATCAGGGAGTGATAAAGCACCAACGTGAGCCTCTGGCCTTCACATGTACATAGACATACGTCTGCTTCCCAAGCACTGCTGTGAAATGTATTAATACCTCATCATTTTAAAATATTTTTTTTGTGGTGGGGCTAGAAAGATGGCTCAGCAGTGAAGAGCACTTGCTGCTCCTGCGGAGAACTGGGTTCAGTTCCCAGCACCACATGGTGACTTGCAACCACTTGTAACTTAACTTCCAAGGACTCGGATGCCTTCTGTGGGCACTAGGCATGCACATAGTGCACATACATACATAGGTGTAAAGCATTCGTAACATTTTTTAGCCTTTTTAAAAAAATGGTTATGTATGGCCTTTAATCCCAGCTCTCAGGAGGCAGAGCCAGGCAGATCTCTGTGATTTCAGGGCCAGCCTGGTCTACAGAGGGAGATCCAGGACAGGCACCAAAACTACACCGAGAAACCCTGTCTCAAAAAACCAAATAAAAAGATTTATGTAAGTCAGCAGTCAGTCTGAAGAAATCACGTATAAAGCCCAAGAGAACTCATAAGCAGCATATCTTTAGAGAAGCATTGCATTGCTGAAGACGTCTCTGATGGTACCCCATGGTGGCACATGCCTGTGATATCAGAAGTGTGGAGACTGAAGCAGAAGATTTCAAGTTTATGGCCAGTCTGCACAAGACCTTATTCCAAAAAGAAAACAAAGTGCCTGGATTCTGCTTGATGATGAAGGATCCCAGTTCTAAGAAAGTTTTCTTTAAGAGACTATCCCATCATGGTCATTATTAGTAGTTCCGTGGGTGAAATACCGTGAAAAACCCCGGAAAGCAGAGCTAAGAACTTTGTCTTTTCTTCACTCCATGGTTACGAGGGAAGGGGTTAGGTGATCCTATGTAGTTTTTAGTAGATAACCTTTGACCCAGGTAACTTATGCAACTTGTGTGGCTTCTAACCTCCCTCTGATATCACAACAGCTGAGCTCTGAGACCTTGGAGGCATGTGTCAGTTATTATCCAGACTGAAACATCTGCAGATTTTTTCTGGTTGGTGTCTTTCCAAACCACCTCATCAAAAGTCATAAAAGGGACTGGAAAGATGGCTATCAATAATTGAGTGCTTACTGCTCTCCTAGCTCTTCTGGAGAACCTGAGTTCAGTTCCCAGCACCTATATACGGTAGCTCATACCTGACTAACTCCAGCTCCAGAAGGTATGACACCCTTGTCTGGTCTCTGCCCACACCCCTCGATAGTCACAAATTAAAAAAAAAAAGTCACAGAGGGTAAGCAGCACATCTGTAACCCCAGCATTCACTAGAGGAGATCAATGAGTAGAGGCCAGCCTGGACTATATAGTGAGTTCTAGGACAGACACTTTTTGCTGTATAACGAAGATCCTGTCTGGGAAGAGTTGGGGGGAGAGGGCAGAAATATATTGCTACTTTATCTATGTAGGCTTTCCATGTTACAGATAATACCTATACATTTTAAGAATGATAAAATCTGTGTTTAGTGAGACTCGTTTATAGTTCTGCATTACAAAATTGGTTATTAAATGTTTATGACAAATATTAAGTATATTATGCTGTGTTAAATGAAAATAAAATTGACAGTCACTATTTGCGTTATGGGTTTGTTCTTGTTTTAAATCCTGTATACACCTGGTCTGATGACGTAGCTAAGCAGTAGAGGGCTTGCCAGCATACACGGCTCTGGTTGATCCCCGGCACCATGGAACAAAATGGCTCCTAGGCCAGTGAGATGGCTCAGTGGTTTAAAGCACTGTGCAAGCCTGACAATCCGAGTTCAGTTCCCAGACGCCAATGAGTGTGGGAGGAGAGGACCGACTCCACAGCTGTCCTTAGACCCTCCGTCCCACATGCACTGAGACCCACACACAGTTTAAAGACGCAGTTCCAAACAACAAACAGACTCAGTGCCTCTGATCACAGATAGATTGACGGGCCTACACCTGAAAATTGATAACATTCAACAAGTATTGGTGTTCCATACTAGAATCATGAATAATTTTTAAAGTTTCAGATTGTCTGCTAATATCATACATTTCCTACAGTGTGTATGTATTTTTGAAGTAAGGAAAGGGAAGTAATATTTTTATTAAAATTTATCTGGGCATGGTGGTTCACGCCTTTAATCCCAGCACTCGGGAGATACAGGCAGGTTGAGCTCTGAGTTCAAGGCCAGCCTGGTCTACAGAGAGTTCCAGGACAGCCGGGGCTGCACAGAGAAACTCTGTCTCAAAAAACCAAAAGAAAAAAGAAAAAAGAAAAGAAAAAAGGAAGAAAAATGTAAAATACAAGACTTATCTGTAGCTTTTGTGACCTGAATACTTTTTTGGATCCTGTATAGTTAAGATACCTTTCTGTAAACAGCCTTAGAGATGTGTGAGTGCAGGTGCACACTTATAAGTGTGCATGGAGGACTCAGAGGATAACTTTGGGTATCAGTGCTCATCTTGCACCTTGTTTGAGACAGGGTCTCTTTCCACTGTGTACCCCAGTTGAACTGGCCCTCAGTTTCCAGAGATGCTCCTGTCTGTCCTCCTATCTCGCCGCAGGAGCACTGGGATCATAGGTGTGCTGCGGTGTCCAGCTCCATGTGGGCTGTAGGGCGTCAAACTCGGTCTCCACGAGTGTACAGTCAGCGCTTTCCCCTCTGAGTTACCGCCTAAGCTGAGGTTTTGTGTGGAGGAAAAGCTGTTCGTTCACTTGTAGTACAAAGTTCCCCCTGACTAACATGGGTCTTTACCGGAACCTCTGCTGTGCACGCTGATACCGCCCCCTGTGTGCACACTCTAAGTGGGATATGTTGTGTACTGTCACCGCTTGTCTCTGTCTGTAGAAGGGTATCTCAGCCTTAGCACAGCTAGGAAGAGCCGCCCAAGCGCCATACGGGATCTGTTGGTAAGATTTTCTGTTCTGGACTTCATGGGAAGTTGTTCAAACCTGCCTGTTTTGCAGGACTTGGAAAAGGAGAGCGACACGCCCCTGCAGCAGGTGTCTATTGAAGAGATTCTAGAGGAACAGCGGGTAGAACAGCAGACCAGACTGGAGGCAGAGAAGCTGAAGGTTCAGGCCCTTAAAGACCGGGGCCTCTCCATCCCTCGAGCCGACACTCTGGATGAGTACTGAGGCCTTTGCTCTAGAGAGCAAGGGCTGTCACCTGGTCACCTCACACATTGACCAAAGACTGTCTAGTGAAAGGTGGCCTTATTCTTTCACATAGGCCCCCGTGAAGATATCATGCAATTTTGTTTTTGTTTTTAACAAAATCACTGTATGTTTTGTTTTGCTTTTCTGTTTCAAACAGTCTTGTTATATAGCTCTGGCTAACCTGAATCTCACTATGTAGACCAGGCTGACCTCTAACTTGTGGGATTACAGGCGTGTTCCACCAGGCCCAGCTTTATTGTTTAAAGAAACAGTGACATGACCCACCCTCACACAAGTCACTGTGGAGCCAAGAATCACGTCTTTATATTGCTTTTCTTATCTCAGAGTTTACATTTCTTTTTAAAAGATATTTCTTCATTTACTTGTAAATAAAGAATGAATCCCATAATGTCATATTATTTCACAAAATGGAGTTACTGCTGGTGGAAAGAGAAAATTCACCACTGCAGAAGGGGTGGTGTTCGGATGCTCGGATCCCCTGCCATCACAATCCACGTGGCTGTCTGCTCGTCAAGACATGGATCTTGGGTCCCCGTCCCCGTTTTCATGTTTGTAAATCTGACCAAGTTTTAAGATTGAGAAGGGAGTTTTCAAGGAACCAGTTACAACAGAAGCCTCTTGTTTAAGAAACTTGAACCCTGCCTTACCCACAGCTATTCCAAACTATTTCTCAGAAGAAAGAATGTCTTCATAATGTGCTTCGTTCTCAGTCTTCTGTTACTCTGGCTAAGTTTCCAAGTCCTCTACACTTAAGTTTTGGTCACCTTTTGCTTAGGTCATCACACACACACACACACACACACACAAATCCACAAATGGTGTTTAGTAACTACTGATTCATCGTGACACCGCTGCGTTGACTTGATTTCTGGAGGGTCAGGGCTGCGTAGTACGTGTAGCAGATGACGTTTTCAAATCAGTGTGCTTTAGTAGACAACAGGCAGGAAGGAAGCAACAGCGTGAAAATTGGCTTATAAGCACATTGAAATGATTCTCAGTAATGTAATTATCCCACATACTTCCTTTGTATAATCTTTTGGGCAGTGGTGTGGACTGTTTTATACTGTGATATGAAATATACTTAGTTTATGTTTTCAAGTATTTAAAAAAAAAAAAAACCTGCCCCAGATGCCCATAAACCATTTGGCATGTTAATTCTTCATTATTGGGTTAGTTCTACAGTAGATACTTTTTGAAGAAATTATTGTCCTTGGATTGAGGATGTAGCTCAATTGAGGATAGTGCTTAGAATGTGCAAGGTCCACGCCAGGCAGTAGTGGCACATGCCTTTAATCCTGGCACTTAGGAGGCAAAGAGAGAGGCACTGAGTGGGAGGCCATCGTGGTCTACAGAGTGAATTCCAGGACAACCAAGGCTACACAGAGAAACCCTGTCTCAAAGAGCAAGCAAAAAAAAAAAAAAAATGCAAGGTTCACATCACACATCTAAGTAGAGGGACAGCAGAGGGACTTTAATTGTGCTCTGCTGTTTCAGAACATTTGGCACCTTCAAGAGCTGTACATCACTTATCTCAACATCAAACAACCCCAATGCAGTAACAGACATGAGTTATAAAAGGGGAAGGGACCGTCGTGCCCCTTGAATCTGTTCTTTGCAAGGTCCAGTCAGGCGTGATGTTTCTGATCTATGTCATGCAGCAGCCTGGAATTGAATCTAAAAGTTAAACTGTTTAGACTGCTTCCTTCCTGTTAGTTCCCAGATTGCTTGGCCTAGGGGCTTGCTTCAACTGTCCTCCCTGTGTGTACACTGAAATCTGGTGCCATGATCACTGACCACTGTAGATACGCTCCTATGAGACTGCAGGAGCAATTCCAGTTCATAGTAAAAGTTCCTACCAGTTGGGGCAGTTGATTTCAGAGGGGAAAATGAGAACACCCTGCTTGTAGCCATCTTGATTCTGAAATAACTGAGCTTACCTGTTTCAGGCCTTTTTTTCTTTAAACTTCCTCCTAGGCCCTTCATATATTTGATTTCATGCTCTCTGCTTTTTAAACCTACAACATCTCTACTCTGAATAGACTACAAAGTAGAGCGCAAAAACAGAAGAAATAGAGTACATCCTGTATAATGAAGTTAGGTTGTGTGTAACCCTTGCGTGTATGTTGACACTGGTAATATAAAGTATATGTTTCTGAGAATGACTCCAGCATTTGAAAAGCATTATATATAGTCTGGTTTTCTCTGTCCATTATAACTAGGAAAGGGAAAAGTACATCCTCACTGTCCTATCTTTGATTTCAACTGCTGAAGATTACCTTTGCTACCTTTAGATCTCTGCTCAAGTGTCACCATCCATCCCTGACTCCCTCTTCCAAACGGCATGTCTAGGATGGAAAGGTAGCTCAGTGGTAGAAAGCTTGCTTAGCATGTTCTGGGTTCTAGCCCCAGCGTTGGGGTAGGGGGAGAAAATCCCCTCAAAAATTCTACCTCCCCGTTTCCCTTCCAGGTTTATTTTTTACCCTGACAACCATCAACAGCTGACAGAAGCCATTATTTACTATTTCAGCCCCCAAAGTAAATGCCTAAGACTGGGATTTCTGAGTGTGTGGACACATGTCTATAATTCCAGCACTTGGGAGGCTGAGAGGCTGGAAGGTCCAGTATTTAAAGCCAACCTCTGCTACAGTGTGAATTGGAGGCCAGCCTGAGCTACACGAGTCCCTGTCTTGAAAAAAAGAAAAAAAGTAAAAACCATGTGTGGTGGTGCACACCTTTAGTCCCAGCACTTGCCAGGCAGGGACAGGAGGGTCTCTGTGACTTTGGGGCCTGCCTGGTCACAGTGAGTTTCAGGACAACACAGACCCTGTCTCAACCAAACCAAACCAGTCGAAGAGTGGGATTTTTCTGTCCGCTCCGTCTTGTAGCCCCAACATCTGAGTGATGTCTGAAATACTAGGTTTCACTGTAAAGCTGTTGAAGGCTGGATTGATAGAAGACAGATAAATGAGCCGGGTGGTGGTGGCAACGCACGCCTTTAATCCCAGCACTCGGAAGCTAGAGGCAGCCGGTGGATCTCTGTGAGTTGGAGGCCAGCCTGGGCTACAATGCGAGTTCCAGGACAGCCAGGGCTGTTACACAGAGAAACCCTGTCTTCAAAACAGATAAATGGGTGAAAACACAGGTGTCAGTTCAGGTTGACTCAGACACTTCAGAGAGCAAAAGGTGAGGACAGCCAGGCGCCCTGAGCAATCAGGAAGTGAGTGAATGACACAGAGATGTTCCCCCGAGGCTGCCGTAGCTGTAGGCCACAGATGTCAGGTGTTAAGAATGTGTGTCAAAGGATCCGAGAAAACATCTCAAGAGCTCCATGGGTCAGAGCGGGGCCTTGTTGCCTGTTGTCCGCTGTCTTCCAGGGAACTGAACTGCAGTGTCCACCTTGCATGTCCCCACTCCGGAGAGGCCTTTTCTGTTGGAAAAAAAAAAAATGGTAGTTTTGTGGGTGCTTGCTTTTCTCTGTTCAGTAGGTCTTTACATTTACCAAGTAAATTTCGGGCTACATGGGTCCTAGCTACCAGGGAAGCAGAGACAGGACCAGCCTCCACAACATAATGAACTCCCCAATTTTAAAAAAAAATTTTAGCTTGGCGGTGGTGGCACACACCTTTAATCCCAGCACTCAGGAGGAAGAGCCAGGCGGATCTCTGTGAGTTCGAGACCAGCCTGGACTACAGAGTGAGTTCCAGGAAAGGCGCAAAGCTACACAGAGAAAAAAAAAAAAAGAAAATAAATTTTTTATTAAGAATTTTTTTATTCATTTCACATACCAATCACAGATCCCCCTCTTCCCTCCTCCCACCGCTTCAGCCTCCCACCCCCCATTTCCTCCTACAAGAAGGTAAGGCTTCCCATGGCAGCAGAGCCTGGTACACTCAGTAGAGGCAGGTCCAAGTCCCTCCCTCCGCCTCAAAGCTGTACGAGGTGTCCCACCATAGGTAGTGGGCTCCAAAAAGCCTGCTCACACACCAGGAATGGATCCTGATCCTACTGCCAGGGGGCCCTTAAGCAGATCAAGCTACACAACTGTCTCGCGGATGCAGAGGGCCTAGTCCATTCCTGTGGAGCTCCACAGCAGTTGGTCTAAAGTTCATGAGTTCTCACTAGTTGGGTTTGGTTGTCTCTGTAGGTTTCCCCATCATGATCTTGAAGCCCCTAGCTCATAGAATTTCTCTTCCCTCTCTTTGACTGGACTCCTAGAGCTCGGCCTGGTGTTTGGTTGTGGATCTCTGCATCTGCTTCCATCAGTCACTGGATGAAGGCTCTATGATGACAGTTAGGGTAGTCGCTGATCTGATCACCAGGGTAGGCCAGTTCAGGCACCCTCTCCACTATTGCTAGTAGTCTAAACTGGAACTCGCCAGTTTTAAAGGGGGCCTAGAGGGATGGTTTAGGTTCAGTGGTTAAGAACACTGGCTGCTTTTTTCTGGTTTGGTTCCTAGCACCCACATGGCAGTTCACAACTGTTAACTCCAATTCCAGGGGACCTGATGCCCTCTTTGGGCCTCCATGAGACCCTGGCACACAAATGGTGTTGGACCCCAAAGTTTAGGGTCTCAAGTGGGCGCTCCAAGAACCCAGACTCCAGTCCAGTTGATGCAACAGCACGAGGATTTATTAAGCTTCTATATAGAAGGGCAAACTCTGCTCCTAAGAGCAAGAGCCGCATCTTACTGTAGACATATGGGTACTTTTAAAGGAAAAACCCACAAAAGCCCTAAGATTACAATTCCCATACAATTTCGTTTTACAAGAACGTGGTCTGATCACAGAGGGGGTACAGTTACGTAAACCTCAAGGGGGGTATCAGGGCGGGAGTGGAACTTACACACAGGTCACGGTGGTCCTTCCTGGAACACCTGCAACTATCCCAGTCACAGTTGAGCACATCTCTTAGCAGAAATCTTTTTACATTGTTATATTGTTACAGGGGTGATTGAGTAGTGGCTGAGTCAGGTTGCCCTGGGAACTAGATTTTTAGTTTCTCATTTCCTGGTGCTTGAAGTTCCTCTCTTTCTGAGGCTTGGGGGTGTAAGCCTGAAGGGCTAGGGTCTTTCAATGGTACACAGAAATGCATTGAGGACAAATAGGAAGTAAAATTATAAAGAAATGGCTCCCCCTACCCCCTCAAAACAAAACAAAACAAAACAAAGTCAGGCATGGTGGCACGAGCCTTTAACCACAGACCTCAAGGGGTCGGCAGGGAGAGAGAAATGGAAGTACTGAGCTGGGGTGACCCACCCCTTTAATGTCAGCACTTAGGGAGGCAGAGGTAGGAGGATTTCTGTGTGGCGCTTCTTCTTCCTCAGCTTTGAGTCCCTGTGAGTCATGGTCATACTCCCAGGGTCATAATTGAATATTCGTAGGGGACATTCAGTATAGGCTGGTTGAGGAGTTAATGGTGTTCCCTTTTCTGCTCGGAAGCCTTGCCCCTCTCCCTGCCTGCTCTGTACGTCTGGTCTATTTTCATGTAGGGTGCGCTCTAATCAAAAGGGAGAGCCAGAATTAGATGCCCAGAATCAGAGGACATTCCAGACTTTTCTTGACCTTTTTCCTCAGAGGATCTGCAAGAGTTAAGTAGTCATTCGGCCTGGAAAGGACAGAGAAGGCAAGCCTTGGCACTGGGGGAGGTCATTCAACACCCCCTCCCTGAGTCAATGGCCCTCTCTGACATCAGCAACAGCTGTACGCCTCAGTGCTCCAGTCTGCCCACACTACCCCCTCCTTCCTCTGAAAGCCATAATTCTCCACAGAATGGCAATAGCAGGACCTTGAACATTATCTGAATGGCCTGTCCCCCTCAGCCCCCTCCCAACTGCCTAGCACCTCCACTGAAGGAAGGCCCACGTGTATCTGAGGCGACACGTGTACCAAGCAATGGGTAGGGAGGAGCCTGGGCAGCCAAGCCTGCCAGCACACCCTCTGCCTAGGCACAAGCTGCAGTTTGGAGAGGGAAGCAGTACCTGTGTCTGAGATGTAGCAGCGCATGCCTGGAATCCCAGGACTTGGGAGATAGAGGCAGGAGAATTGGGATTTCAAGGCTCATCTCAGCTACATAGCAAGTTTGAGGACAGCCTGGGTTTAGACATCCGTCTTAAAAAACGACCCCACAAAGAGACAGGTCATGGGGTTACACCTTTCCAGTGGCACTGAGTGGGAGAGTGTGCATCAGGGACAAGTTACAAGACAGCAGGATGGACAAAAATGAACACCGAAGAAGTGGAGTAGTCATAGTGGGTGTGAGGGACTAGATCTTGGGACCTTGGGTGCCTCAAGGCAGTAACCCTCACAGGACCTCTCACACAACTTTATCAGGCCAGAAATGCAGGCTGTAGGACTCAGCGGTCCTGTATGGTTGCATAGTCGTCCTTTTATCCAATTGCCTTGAGGGGGGTGGGTCTTGTCTTGCCTCGGGACGGTAGTCACAGGATCCAGGAGTCAAATGTTGGCAGGGTTGGGGCAGGCCAAGGCTCATGAGACTGTTGGCAACATTCTTGCCATAGGAATTTATTGGGCTTAGAAGCAGCCTCAAGGCACCTTTGAAAGGAAGAGATCTTGGCAGTCCTGGGACCTAGAGCTTTTTTCCTGCCTGGCTTGTCTGGGACCAACCAAGGCACTTCAAAGGCTCCATGGATCTTTGCCCAGGACCACAGGATCCCCTACCTGCGAAGACTGATGGGAGTAGATATCTAAGTACTTTGTCTTTCCCACCTTTCTCCACAGGCCAAGTCCTGTAGCAGGGCTGGCCCAGCCTCAGCTGCTTGAGGAAAGGGTGAGGAAGGAGCAGGGTGTAGCCTAGGCCCAAGTTACTCTCTGCTAGGGAGCTTACAGAGTGGGCCAACATATCCGGACAGTCCCCTAAAATGAGAACGTAGAACGGGGCTTTGGGAGTGGTGATTTGTATCAATGAGTGACCAAATAAATGAACAGTCGAACACACAGGGTGCTCAGGACTCTGGTAGAAGGACCCAAGGCCAGCCTGAGGACTTAGGCTATTGCTCTACCCATGGCACTGACATCCTGTTTGTTTTTGAGCCGGTCACCGGCACCCTCCCATCCTGACTGATGGTCTTGCAGCTTTTTTTTTTTTTTTTTTTTTGAGATAGGGTATTTCTATGTAGCCCTAGCTGTCCTGAAACTTACTATGTAGACCAGGCTGGCCTCGAACTCACAGAGATCCACTTGCCTCTGCCCCGGAGTGCTGGGATTAAAGGTGTGCGCCACCACCACGCCTGGCTCTGGTCTTGCAGTGTTGTTACCTACCCAGGCTCACTCTCTTGGCCAGTATTTCTGTGTAGAGGTGATCCACCTCAGTTAGTGGGCATTTAAGTGAATGCTGAATCTGGGGCTTCAGGACTTAAACGTTTGCATTTAAAACTTTTGAGAAGCAATATGCCCTCTGTCAAACTGCCCCATCTTAGTGGCCTGTCCGTCATCTCCTCCCCTCCCCCCCCACCCCCATCTACTGAGTCTGGCCCTCTCTACTCCCTTCTACGCACTCTGCCCCCTCCCACCTTGGCCAACACTGCAGTGTGAGGCAATCACTCCATCCTTGACCCTCCACACGGTGACTGATGGCTTTTTTATCTCCAAGCGATGATGCACAGCCTTCCGCTGGAAGCATTTAAGGCAGAGCGCTTGATTCAAGCCACAGCTGCAGGACTCAAGACCTTGAGCGGCTCAGGAAGAACAAGTCCTTGATTGCAGCCACAATTACAGGGCTGCCACATCTGCCAGGAAAGCATGTTACTCGCCACATTTAAGCTGTGTGCCGGGAGCTCCTACCGACATGTGCGGAACATGAAAGGTGAGTGTTTGGGGGGGCGTGAGAGCTTGCCAAGAGCCTCCAGGCAATATGGTTTTATCGGAAAGCTCGTGGATAGGGGACAGGCCACCTAGGCTTTGGTCCCAGTTGTGCCTCTTACTGGATGAGCCTGGGTAAGTCCTTTCCCTTCTGGACCTCGGGTTTTTCACCCCCAAAATTAGGCTGGATAGTAAGATACTATATCTCACCGAAGTCCTGTCATTTCTGGCCTCCGCTCTAGGACCCCAGTTCTTCTGGAGCTAGTTCTGATGTTGCCCCTCCTTCAGGACTGGACCAGGTCTGAACCAAGGGTCCCAGGCAGGTCTTTGCCACGGTGGTAGAGAAAGGCAGAAGCCAGCCTTGACTCATAAGAAGCAGTGCCTGGCAAGCCCAAGAAAGACACTGTCTGGGAAGAGGAGCATAAGAAAGGCAGGAGAGCCGGGCGGTGGTGGCGCACGCCTTTAATCCCAGCACTCGGGAGGCAGAGCCAGGCGGATCTCTGTGAGTTCGAGGCCAGCCTGGTCTACAGAGTAAGATCCAGGATAGGCACCAAAACGACACAGAGAAACCCTGTCTCAAAAAAAAAAAAAAAGGCAGGAGAGTTGGGCAGCATATCTACAAGGCAAAGGTGGCATCGCGGTGGGGGTGGGGTGTTGTCACTCAAGAGGCATATCTTGGTAGTAGAGTAACCCTCAGGAGACGGATGTATCCTGCTCCATACCCAGTGACTCACTGAGCAGTCTTTTTCTAGTTTACGACAGGCCCAGGTAAACTTCTGTGTCCAGGCAGGGCCAGGTTTGACCAGTCCATCCTTATTTCCCAAGATGGAAAAGCGATTTCTAGGCCCTGGAAGTGCTGGGGGATGTTTAACCCTGCACTTGGATGTAAAGACACGGCTCCAGTTCAGGTCCCTGCTGGAATCTGTTCCTGAGCCAATTTGCTCCTCTGTGCTGAGTGGACTGTATGGCCCCTCAGTTAGGGACTTTCTAACTCCTTGGCAAAAATTTCCTTCCCTCTCTGCAGGACTGAGGCACCAAGCCATGCTGGCCATTGGCCAGGAGCTGAACCGGACACTGGGGGACCCCAGCCCTGGATGGATCAGTCAGGTTCGGCGTCGGAGCTCACTGCTTGGTAAATGTTGGGGCTTCTGGGCTTCTGGCAGTGATGGGGCTTAGGGTACAAATGTTGCTCACAAGGCCTGCCTTTTCCCTGCCTTGGCTCCCTAACTACTCTATCTACCTTGACCTTCTTTGACCTTCAGATAGGCCCCTATGCCTTTGATCTTGTCTCTTCTGAGGACTGAGCACATTCAGAAGGCAAAGAGATGAGAACTGAGATCTTTCTTTTTGCGGCTGTGTATACAGGTTCTCAGCTGGAAGCCACACTCTACAGTGAGCAGGAGCTGTCCTACATCCAGCAGGGAGAGGTGGCCATGCAGAAGGCCTTAGGCATCCTCAGCAACCAGGAAGGCTGGAAGAAGGAGAACCAGCAGGTGAGTGGGGGTGGCTATAAGGAACCTGTATGGTCTCACTGCCGTGTTCAACGCTCGCTGGGATTCCTACCTCATTCACAGTTGATAAGCAGCCAAGTAGTTTTATTTTGAGAACTCTCCTAAGAATTTGTTCTCAGGTTGGGTTGAGGGTGCACACCTTAAATCTCGGTGGCACTCAGGAGGCAGAAGCATGGGGATCTATGGGTGTTTGAGGCCAGCCTGATCTCTGTAGCAAGTTCCAGGCCAGCCAGGGATAGTGAGACCGTCTCAAAACAAACAAACAAACAAACAAACAAAGAATATGTTCTCAGATAACCCTCCTCTATAAGACCTGATTGAGAAATATTGTTCCTATTTCTTAACTACCCTCCAAATGCTGTACACTCATCCAACAGAAACCGTGCACTCTGGAGACTCCATGTGCATTGGAGGACATATTACCCAGTATTTACAATGCTAGTGTATACTCTGTACTGTTCAGCCCACCCTGTAGATGAACTTGCAGTGGTAACATGGGCTTATGCTGCCACAGAGCTAGAGTATACAAAAGTGGCCCAGTATCGTCTGAAGCCCTGCCCTGAATGTTGTATCCCTTGCTGGGGGCCAGTAACAAGACTTAGGTTAAAATCAGTAGCTCTACTATCAGATCTACTTGGTGACCTTATCTCCAGCAAAAGTTTACACGCTATTCATCACCTAGAGTTCAGAGGAAACATCTTGTTGCTCAAGTTCTTATAGTAATGGAAATAATAGACTAATAGTTTAGGAGTCAAAAAATCTGGGATCCAGGCTCAGCACTGCTCGTTGCTAAGGGTCCCTGGGCAAATCATTGAAACTTTCTGGCCCCACATTCTTCTGAAATAAAATGATATATATATTAACAAACAAACAAAAAACACCAGTGTTCCCTTTCTATAATTGGCTAGTTGTAGAGCAAACATTTTACACTCCAGGTCTGTCTTTTGGACTCCTTGAGCTTTGAAGTATGGGTCATTTCAGTTGGACCTGCCCATGGTACCAACATTCATCACTAAGCCAAGGCAGTCTTGAGTGGATATACAAGGCTTGGGGGCAGCGGTGCTTACCTACTGCATCCTCATCAGGTAGAGATCCAGGTCCCCAATGCTCAGCTTAGACTTGCTGGTCCCTTGCCCAGTATTGTCTAAGACCTAGGCCAGGAGTGATTTTCTCTCGCCTTAACCCTGTGGCTCTCTTTTGTCCCTAACAGGAAAATGGGGATGAAGTGCTAAGTAAAGTAATCCCAGATGTAGGCAAGGTGTTTCGGTTGGAGGTGGTGGTAGACCAGCCCATGGACAGACTCTACGAAGAACTGGTGGACCGCATGGAGGCAATGGCAGAGTGGAACCCAAATGTCAAGGAGATCAAGGTGAGGAGAAGGAAGCCCAGGTGTGGCTGGCAGGGACCCAGGAGAGTACAGTCTAACAGGTAGGCCAAAGGCATCCCAAACTATGGGTGCTTAGCCCACCACTGGCTGAGTCCTGACTCTGATTCCCTTGTATTAGGTCCTGCAAAAGATTGGCAAAGACACAGTCATCACCCATGAGCTGGCTGCGGCAGCAGCGGGCAACCTGGTGGGGCCCCGTGACTTCGTGAGCGTGCGCTGTGTCAAGCGCAGAGGCTCCACCTGTGTGTTGGCAGGCATGGCCACACTCTGTGGGGAGATGCCCGAACAAAGCGGTGTCATCAGGTAAGGCCGGCAGCCGACTCAAAATCGCACCTCATAATCCAGAGCCCCACCTCCAAGAAACCAATCCCTAACCTCACTCTAGGCTCAACAATGAAGGCCCAGAGCGGCCCCACTTCGGCAGCCAATTGGTTTGTTCTGACCCACCCGGGAACTTCTAGGAATCTTAATTTTCTAAAGCAAGGGGGAGGCTACTGTGTTCTGACAAACGGGGGGCACAGCATGAGGCGTCGGCTCTAACCGGCAGGTTCTGGTGAGCTGGCATGGCTGCCAGCTGTTAATCAGTACTTTGGGTAAAGTACTTCCTGATGAAATGGAAAACACAAGGGACTCTGGAAATCTGCGAGTGTCCTTGATCAGCAGACCTCTCACCCATCTTCCTGCCTTGACTGTTCATTTCCCAGAGCTGAACAGGGTCCCACCTGCATGGTGCTTCACCCACTGGCTGGAAGTCCCTCAAAGACTAAATTCACTTGGCTGCTCAGTATTGACCTCAAGGTGAGGGGCATGGGAAGTGGCCTGGGAGTGGGGAGTAGTGACGAAAACATGCTCTTGTCCCCCAACCTAGAGGAGAAAGTGTCCTCTTGCATTTTTTTCTTGACTTTTAAGACACTTTATTATTGTTGTGTGTGCGTGATGTGTATGTGTGAGTGCAGGCGCTCACATGTCAACAGCAGTGTGGAGGTCAGGGGCACTGTTGCCTTGGGGTTCTCCTTCCTCCTGTACGTGGGTTCCAGTAATTGAACTCATATGTCACACCTGTGAGGCAAGCGCTGTGGCCCACCGAGCCATCCTGCCTGTCTTCCTCTTGCATTTTGATAGAATCCCGGGCTGTTGGATAGGCAATGGACTTAAATATGGCCTGCTAATCTACCATTGTAGAAGCCTGCAAAGGCTTCCTCTCACCTCATCTAAAAAGCTGGGTGCAGTATCTAAAATTTCAGTACTTAGAGGCAGAAGTAGGAGGATCACACGTTCAAGATTCCAGGACCTACTGAAATGGTTAAAAAAGAAAATCAATTTCATATATAAATATGGCCATTTAGAAAGAGGTGATCTAGGCCCAGTGGGGGTGGCACACGCCTTTAATCCCAGCCCTGGGAGGCAGAGCAAGGCGGATCTCTGTGAGTTCAAGGCCAGCCTGGTCTACAGAGTGAGTTCCAGGAAAGGTCCAAAGCTACACAGAGAAACCCTGTCTCGAAAAACCAAAAAAAAAAAAAAACAAAAAAAAGAAAGAAAGAGGCGATCTTAGGCCCAAAAGCGAGGTAATGGGAAAGGCAAACAGACTTCTCAGGACCACACAGCTGGGAATCCTGTCTCTGACAATAGAGCAACAAAGGCTGCACTTCTAAACAGGAAGACCAAACCCTGTTGGGCGTTCCTGCCTGTGTCAGAGTACAGGAGAACAGTACCCACAAGACACCAATGCTCACTGGGCATGGTGGCGCACGCCTTTGATCCCAGCACTCAAGAGGCAGAGGCAGGCAGATCTCTGTGAATTCAAGACCAGCCTGGTCTACAGAGTGAGTTCCAGGACAGCCTGGTCTACAGAGTGAGTTCCAGGACAGCCAGTGCTATTACACAGAGAAACCCTGTCTCGAACCCCCCGCCACCACCCAAACAAAAACAAAAAGACACCAACGCTCTTGTCTCTGCTCTAGGGGTGGCTGCCAAAGACCATCATCAACCAGGTCTTATCGCAAACCCAGATGGAGTTTGCCAACCACCTGCGCAAGCGCCTGGAGTCCAGCCCTGCCTCTGAGGCCCGGTGTTAAGGACCGTACCCACGACATCAACCTGCATGCCACCAGCAGACCCCCGCAGGAAGCCTGCAAGTCTCTTTCAAATCTTCAGTGGATGACAACAGGGGTGTCAGTGTCATCGGACACTAGGACTGGCTGGTAAAAACGTGACCATCAGGAAAACAGTGATGAAGCCCAGAGGACAAGACCTCTGGCCTCCCCACCCATTAGCTGTGAAGCAGAGGCTAAGGGATAAACATCTGGTAAACCTTTCTTCCAGGCTCGTATATGCTCACTTAAAAAATCCTGCTCAAAATGCCAGTAGCTGATGTGGCAAGGCGGGGTGCTAAGGATCAGGAACTGTTGTCTTATGAGCTCAAAATGCCACTGCCTGAAGCAGTGTGTGCACAATGCAAGGTTTTACCCAGGGAACTCCAGTGACCTTTTGCTCCTCCATAAAAGGCCCAGAACATCAAGCTACCCACAAATGGACCCTTCCAGAGTATGTATTCTGTTTTCTCTAAGGAGAAACGAAACTATTATGCTGGCTTCTCTACTTATTCCATCACAATAAAGCACCATACATGCAAATTTCAGCTTGTACTTGTCAAGTCCTACTCTACAGAATCTGTGCTGGGAGTCACAGCTTCATTAGAGTTCTGGACCAAGACTGTGGGTTTGAATTTCCTAGTTCATCAAAGGGAACAACACTTCTGGAGATTTATCATTGGATTGTTTAGACTCTTTCCTAAAAATGTAATTTTCTAACAAACACAGCTCTAAATTAGTTCTTAAAGAACTCTAGCCTAAAGCCAGTATGATGGCACATGCCTTTGATCCCAGCACTCGGGTGGCAGAAATAGGTGGGTCCCTGTAATACTGAGGTCAGCCTGGTCTACATCGGATAGCCAGAGCTACACGGTGAGACCCTGTCTCAAAAATACAAAAACGGGTTGGAGAGATGTCTCAACAGTTAGGAGCACTGGCTGCTCACTAGGGGATACAGGTTCAATTCCCAGCAACACACTGCAGCTCACAACTGTAATTCCAGACCCAGGGAACCTCTTCTGTGGGCACCAGGAACACACATGGTACACAGACATACATACAAATATGCAGGCTGAACACCATAATCATTTAAAAAAGAAACTCTAGTCAGGTATCATGGCTCAACAGCTGTAATCTCAACACTCCAAATGACAACACAGGTGAATTGCCCTAAGTTCCAGGCAAGCTTGAAGCACTGTGAGACCAGCTCACAACAAACAAACAGAAACTCTTTAGAGCTGTCAGTTAAGATTCATAGCCCTAAAAGAGGAAGATGATAACAGGGCTTTCATTTATCTAATTAAAAGGGTAATACCAAATAAGAAATACTGACCAATAATGCTAAGATAAAGTAACTATGTGTATTATTTATGAGGTTAGTTACAAATACAGATTAGATAGATGGCAGCTTGGCTAAGAGCTAGCAACTTTATTTGAAGAGCTTAAAATATTACCATTTGGGAAGAGAAGATATCTAGAAGGCAATATGGTGATAACAAATTTCTGTTCCAGGAGCCAGAGAAATTATGCTTTAAAGATTTAAGTTGGGGGCCAGCAAAATGACTCAGTGTGTAAATGTTTGCCACCAAGCCTGATGACTGGAGGGTGACTCCTGGACCCCACATAAAGGTGGAAGGAGGGAACTGAAAAACTGATTCCACAGAACTTCCTGACCTCCACGCATTTACATTCACACCCATACTAAAAATCTTGCACATAGGGGCTGGAGAGATGGCTCAGAGGTTAAGAGCACTGACTGCTCTTCCAGAGGTCCTGAGTTCAATTCCCAGCAACCACATGGTGGCTCACAACCATCTACAATGAGAGATCTGGCACCCTCTTCTGGCCTGCAGTCATACATGCTGTATACATAATAAATAAATAAATCTTTAAAAAAAAAAAAAAATCTTGCACATAAATACATATATACTGGAATTCCTTTGTTGAATGTGTTAAGGATGGGAAAAAAACCCAACTATTACGACTAAAGCTTTTTACTGGGTAGGCAGCAAGCACTTTTATCTGAAGTGCCGTCTCGCCAGCCCATTTTCCATCTTTAGCAAAGAATTTTAGCTTATTTAAGAGTAAAGCAGAAGCAGTGTGAACACTTATTTATTGAAGTTTTAAGATTTAACAACTGGTATTTATTATAACTCATTCTGATTGCTTCCAGTCTACTTTGGACACAGGTAAGACTGTTGCTCATCCAGGAGCTTCAGGGTGAGGAAGGGCAGTTGTAGGGCTTTTCTGACAGAACCGTCATGATCAGCTAAGGGAACGCAGTCACTTGCTGAGTCAGTCCAACACCAAGTATGCTGGCTTCGAGAGAAAAGGCCAATGGTGAAGAAAAGGCCCTTTAGCAAACACTCAACTATCATTTGCTCCTTCACACTCTGTAACTGTATCTTTGTGCTGTCTGAGATGTTTTACCCCTTTGTTTAATTTTACATTTGAATAAAACTAATTGTCAATGGTAATCTCATTATAGGCAACTATAGATGGGTAGTTATTTTTTGAATCTTTCAAATGAAACTTATTAACACATGCAAGTTCACAACTGTACATACGCTTTTCATTGTTTTTTCAATATTGTTCATTTGAGACGACAGGGTCTCACTCACTCTGTAGCCTAGGATGGCTTGGAACTCCTATGAATGCTCCTGCCTCAGCATCTTGAGTACTGGGATTAATAGTATGACCCACCACCATTTGGCCTTTTCCTTTCAGACACTAAGTATTGTTAAGTAAAGCACTACTTTGGTAACCTTCAACATATGAAAGCCAAATACACAAACATCTAGTTTTATATTGAGGTAGAACAGAAGACTTATACATGGCTATTTACATGCTAATACTTCACCTCTAGTTTCTACTCATAACTTCATGGTCTCACTTTGTAAGTGGCTTGTCTTTCTCCGACCAATCCTTGCATTAGTAGGTGTCTAGAAACTGATAGGCTGTGACCCCAGCTTACAATACCGACTCCAATAGTTTTCTTGTTAAGATAGTAAAAGGATGAGCCAATTGTGGTGATCCATCTTTAATCCTAGCCCATAAAGGAGGCAGATCTCTGTCAGTCTGCAGCCAGCCAGGCTACATAGTCCCTGCTTCAAAAAACAAAACCAAACAAAGATACTGAATGGATGAGTGATTCAGCAGGAGACAGGTGTAATAGTATTGCCATTTGTGTTAAGACGATATTCACCTGAACCTTGGGGAAATTCTTAAATAGCAAAACAAAGTAATTAGAAGAACAATAGGAATGCTCTGATAATTCTGCCTCCCACCTAGCTCCTGGTGAATCACTTTACCTAGCACTTAGGTAAAAAAAACAACTAGAGAGGGCAGCCTTTAGGTAATTCTAGGGGTTTGCATTTGCCACAGACCGATGTATTTTAAAAGGGAGGCCACTAAGGAGTCCTCCTAAAGGAAGGATCATTGTCATTCTTGTATCTTAACCATTGGCTGGCCAGTAGAAAGGAAGGCAGGCAAGAAAACCTGCACACATCAACACCCAACAACATCAAAGAGAAGAGAGAGCTAGAGGAGGCCCTCCACTCCTGCTCTCTTGGAGATTGCAGTTTCCACAGGACAGTGGAAAAGCCTGGCTGCCCAGGGGGGAGGAGAGCAAAGGAAGAGGGTGAGGTCTAAGTCAGAAGCCTGTCCAGCCTTCCAGTGCTCCTGTTCACACTGCTAACACTCACCAGAAGAGAGCAAAGGAAGAGGGTGAAGTCTAAGTCGGAAGCCTGTCCAGCCTTCCAGTGCTCCTGTTCACACTGCTGACACTCACCAGAAGAGAGCAAAGGAAGAGGGTGAGGTCTAAGTCGGAAGCCTGTCCAGCCTTCCAGTGCTCCTGTTCACACTGCTGACACTCACCAGAAGAGAGCAAAGGAAGAGGGTGAGGTCTAAGTCGGAAGCCTGTCCAGCCTTCCAGTGCTCCTGTTCACACTGCTGACACTCACCAGGAGGAATTCAACTTCAAGTGAAGACAAGGACCACACAAGCTTGAGAACAAGTTTTATTGGAGAAAAGATCTAAGTGTTAAACCTGCAGGCAAATTCCTTTCACAATTACAGTTCGTAGAAACCCACTAGCTTCACAGATCCCCAAACTCCACACCAATAAAAGGTAACTTTTAGACTGCTCTGGAATGTACTGCCACTGATTTCAGCCCCTCTCAGAAACCAGGAGGGATGCCAACATCTTTAAATACACTATCTGCATGGGCATGATTATTCACTTCTTAGAAAATACAGGAAGGTAACAAGTCCTGCTGGCAGGCACGTTGCACAGCACCAGTTTCACAGGGAGTCTGTGGGCTCTTCAGAATCAGCAGCTGTTGGTGTATGGCACTCACAAAGTAAGAGTGGGAGCTGGAAGAGGGGAGGGAATGCTGAAGGGTGGGGAAACAGCTGCAGTCCACCTAGCCAGTCTCTATTACATCGACAAAAAGTGTATTGCAGCATCTTTGGGAAAACATTTGACACTTTATAAACAAAAGCAACACCCCAATATTATTCCAGAGAAAGCTTTCCAAAGCAAGGATTGGTTAGGGTTCCCAGGGTGGACTGCGCCTTCCATCCACTTCTGTCTCCACATGATACAAAACATCAGCCAGTGTGTGTTCTACCACAGCACCCCAGCCCATGTCACTCATCTGTAGGAGGAATTCAAACAAACAGGGAAACGAGTGATTACAAAAGCCATAGCAAGAAACAAAGATGCTGAGGATGCATTGTAGACATTTTAATGGTACTCACAGGGTGGTAAGTGAGGTCCTTTGGAGGGTATTTGAAGGATGGTCCAAAGTTAATGGAAACCTGGGATAAGTTCAATTCAAGTAGACACGGGAAAAAATGGAAAAAGAAAACAAACGTTTCATTTGGCAGGGGATATTTAAAGGAAAACTACAGGAAGTAGGAACTGTGGTGCATGCCTGTAACCTCAACACTAGAGAGGCTGAAGCAGGAGGATCCTGAGTTTGAAGCTAGCCTGAACTACATAGCAGACCCTGTTTCAAAATAAAAACAATGTCGCTGAGATAATTAGGTTAAAATGGAACAAGAGATACATTAACATTGTTAAAAGTGGTCAACACCCTAATGTCTATCAAGCGCTAGGTAGAAGTAGATTTCTCACTGATTTCTGTTTGCAGCCTATAGGTCTCCTAATCTTCTTCTGATAGAGAGGTAATGACACTACTACATGGAAATCATCATGTGCTATGTTTTCCTCTGTGAACAAGCAATAACCTTCCTTCATGCAGGGCTTTTTGTTTTTTGTTTTTATTTTTGAGACAGGGTCTCAATGCATAGGCCTGGCTGTCCTGGAACTCACTGTGGAGACCAGGTTGGCCTTGAACTCAAAGAGATCAGCCTTCCTCTGCCTCCCAAATGCTGGGATTAAAGGCATGAACCACCACTCCTGGGTATATATATTTTTTAAGTATAATCAATAGTTACCAATGGCAGTACACATATGATATCATCAAACATACGACACCAATGACTCACGAGTGCATATGCTTTGTATCTTTCATATTAAACAATGACACGTGCAAAGCACAGTGCATACTAACATCTGCAAATACTTGAGACATCCAGATGTGTGTACATTTCCAGGCCTCCCAGAGGCTGTTCGGACTTCTTTCTAGAAATCACTTTCCTCCCAAATCAATGGCTCTTTCATCACAACCCATCCACACACTTCCTTTAAGTCATATGACAGACCAAACGCAGGGTACATACCGTGCAGCTCTTGTACAGCGAGATAGCCGGAAAGTAAACCCCCTCAAAAATATCTTTATAGGCCACACCCTGACTGACGCCATTTTTATAAAATATTATCTGAAACAAAGATGAAGGTTTTTCTTCAGAATTTTTAAAAGAACAAAATAATAATAAAAAAAAAACCTCAATTGTGGAATACTTAATACTCCCTGCAGAATGACAATAATGTACTCATTCTAAGAATAACATACATTTTATATCGTATCTTAAATTTATATGCTACTTTAGACTTTTCAAGTAAATTAATATATAAACATAAATTATTTTGGTTGATTTTAAGCTTGTTTTTGAATTTCCATGCTACATATACCCTTATGTATATAATGAATATTCCATTATTCATTATACTTTACTTGGAGGAGGGACTGAGACAGTCTCATGTAGTCCAGGCTGGCCTCCAGCTCACTCTCAGCTGAGAGTAACTCTAAACTCCTGCTTTACACCTCATAAGCACTGTGCTCACAGGCATGTGCACACACCAGCTTTCATTACACTGTATTTGTAAGAAGTATCAGAGTTTCTGGCAAGGGCTTTTGTTTGCCTGTTTTAGCTTTTAATTGATAGACTTTCTCCCCCTAAAACATTGAGAGCTCTAGTTTCTTTATCCCACACTTCTACCACTGACCCATGTGGCTTCTCAGAACTTAACTTCTCCTCACTCCCCTTTCTGTTTTGATCTTTGGCTCTTGAGGTTGACTCAGATGCTCCTGGGAAGGGAAGGCAGGGAGAGTTCTAGAGGACAGAGTGAGCCATCCAGCCCCTGCTATCTCCAAGTGACACAGCAGGGTCTCCTCCTCTAGTTCCGGTCTCCCTCTGTCCTTGGCATCTCCTTCAAGAAGAGTGTCTATCTCACTGGCTTCTTTAATCTCCTGCATGGTTCCTTATCAGGTCACTGTCCTTCCAGCCCTTTCTTTAGCGTCCCAGAAAGAACATTCTCATGCTACACAAGACACAGGTGATGGGCTGAAGTGAGCTCTAGGCTGCAGGCAGCCAAGTTTTTCAGTTTCCCTCAGTACCCTTTGGCCTCAGCTGCCTCAGTCAAGACAGTCCTAGAACTCACAGAGATCCACCTGCCTCTGCCTCCCTAGTGCTGGGATTGAAGGCGTGCGCCACCGCCACTGCCTCTTTTATCCTCCAGGAGTCTGGCTCTTCAAAGCATTATTATCCTGACTTGTCTATGACTGTGACTCACCTCACTATGGGGCGTCTGTTTTAGGCTCTTCTCTGCTTTGTCCACAAAGTCTTTTTCTTCAAAATACAAGTAACTCTTGAACTTTATCAAAGCCTTGAAAATCAAGAAAGAAAAAAAATAGATATTGAAGAATCAGCTACATCACCATGGAGAAAACAAAGTCAGACTCACACAAACAGTGCCACGTCCTTGTAAAGTCTTTGCCACTGAGTTTTGTGAATTTTTCAATTCCTAAGTATTTTTTGTTTTGCTTTGTTTTGTCAAGACAGGGTCTCACTGTGTAGCTCTGGCTGTCCTGGAACTCACTCTGCAGACCAGGCTGGCCTCGAACTCACAGAGAAAAGCCTGCTTCTGCCTCCCGAGTGCTGGGATCAAAGGTGTGAGCCACTATGCTTGGCTCCTAAGTGCTCATTTTTTTTTTTCTCCTTCAAGACAGGGTTTTTTGCGTGACAGTCTTGGATGTCCTGGGACTCAAAGAGATCCTCCTGCCTCTACCCTGAGTGCTAGGATTGAAGGTCATGTGCTACCAGCACCTGGCTCCTAAGTGCTTTTTGAAAGAGACTAGCTGGCCATGTTTGTTA